ATTCTGTGGCTCTGGTACGACGGAGCGAACGCGGGGGGTGTGCGGGTGAGTGCGAGGGAGAGTCGCATTCCAACTAGCGCACCTAGTTAACTCGATCGTGTTGTACCTACCTACAACCAACCTACTTACTAATCATCTATACTTATAATAAATCTGTAGAGAGGTCAATTCTGTACATGAAATATATTTTCAAAATAACTATCAGGGGGTGATTAGTGATCGATACTGATGCCAGAAATGCAATCAGTAAAATTTTTGTCTGTCTGTCTGTCTGTCTGTCTGTCTGTCTGTCTGTCTGTCTGTTTTTATATGATAAAACGAGATTTATATATAATAGAAACTAAAAATAAACTGTTCTATGTTAAGTTGATTGAGTATATTTCCATAAAAGACAATACATAACCAAACGATGCTGCGTGTAATGGATAAAAGACGTAAAGTTATCATTTGTGTAAATGAAAACATACTTTTTTTGGTAAATGTTGCCATTATGTAAACATTTGAGAGCTGCTTAGCTGATCACGGCTTCAAATCCGTTGAGTAGCGTTTGAGAATACCATTTAAAATTGAAGGATACTTAAATTTAGGAGCCCGTCAGCTGAGTGACAGATTTGAGTAGTGTTTCAGTATTCGGCCGTAAGTCAGATAAGCGATAAACCTATGGTAAGTAAGTTCTTGGAAAATTAAATGAAAACTTTATAAATCAATAAACACCTTTTCAATGTATAAAGTAATCATAGACATGCGTACTGCGTAGGTACATTTTTCACACAATAACAAAGTGGTGGCTGACCCTGAGTGCAACAAACACTTGTACCGCAATCGATGCACAATACAGCTGCTGATATGATAAGCGACCCAGTTCCTGTGTCGGAACAATATTGTGCCCTTCAAGGACAAAACCTCATCGATTGTCGTTGATGTATGCCTTGAGAGTCGAGATAAATTTAAGACGAATAATACGAAGAATACGATCTACTTAATCTATTTCAATATCATCGATTGTGCCCTTCAATGACAAAACATCATCGATTGATGTATCTGTATATGTAGGTAGCTTGAGAGTCGAGATAAATGTAAGACTCGATACGAATAGGTGAATACTATCTACTTAATCGATTTCAATATCATCGATTGTGATTTTTAATGTCAAAACATCATCGATTGTCGTTGATGTATGCCTTAAGAGTTGAGATAAAGTCAAAGGCTAAAATAAAATACACAGGCGAACACGATCTAATCGATTTCAATACCATCGCTGCATCGCATCGATAAGATCTTTGTGCGATCAGATTTCAGGAACAGAAGATACGGACTATTTACTTTCATGACTTGCTATTCAGTGTTATTAATTCCAATATACCTACTTAACCCCTTAAAGGATGCGACGACGATAACGATATAGTAATTTCAGTGTAATTTTATTACATATACAATAAAAATATGATATTTAGCAGCAATCGTGCGTACCAAAACACCGTGTAAAGTGGCAATGAACTTAGCAGGCCCACCCTAACAAAAGGTCTTATAAATTGCCACTAAATTGGCTGAAATTGTACATTTGCAAAATCACTTGGCAATGCGTATTATTCAATCTGCCGTTTCCTGGTCTTTCAATTGTGGTCTCATTCTGTGTCTCTTATAATATGGTTGTTACAACTAAGATCACATTACCTAGAGGAATTCTTTGTCTAACATGTCTCTATTAAAAGAACTCCCACTCCCAGGTTGATTTCCATTTGGCACAATCTCAAAGTAATTTTACACCTTCTGTCCTCCCAGTAGGTTTAAAAATCCTTTAAAGACTCACCATTGAAGAAGAACTTGAGCCTATTAGCGTAGACATTGGACCGTGGGATGCCGAGGATGTCAGCAACCGGTTCGATGAGGCTTCTGAATCCACCGGAGACCAGGTACACCGCCACTCCTCGGTCGTGGAGTTCTTTCACTAGTTGTCTGCAATAGAAGAACCAGTTATAAAGTAATACCCGTGGGTAAAACATAGACGACACTTTATCACTGATAGGGAGGGACAAAGAATCTTAGAAAAAAGGGTCTATTCCATTTTGATCACCCAGGTAATCCCCAGTGATGCACCCAGGCGAGGCAGCTTTGAAAGAGTTAAGTCAAACAATCTGACCTAAAAAGTCTGACTGAACCCCTCTAGGCCAAAAGCTGGGTACACCCATGTACTAGAGGTTACTACATTTTGTCCATATGCAGTCGCGCCTTTTGCCGCGTGAGTAAAACCGCGTCATCTGGACGTGGTCAAAAACAACAGTGTCAGTAATAAACACATGCATATCAGAAACAAAGTACATAATTGCATTTGCACTTGATTACTAATATTTATCTATGCAAATAAGCCAATATTTCCGGGCTAATAGAGAACTGGCTGTAAGCGGATATTATACTGGTGCAATGACAAAGATGACCTTTTGGCTTCGTTCGTTCGTTCGTTTCAGCCAAATGACGTCCACTGCTGGACAAAGGCCTCCTCCAAGGCTTTCCACAATGCACGGTCCTGCGCTGCCCGCATCCAGGCTCTTCCCGCGACCTTTACGAGATCGTCTTGGCAATGCCTTTTGGCTTGTGTTGCCATAATTATTATCTGAATTCTAATTGGGATTGAACTGGAATTTTATCAATCAGGTTATTTTATAAAGACTAATTTGTATTTTTATTCAACTGAAGTTTCTTCGTAGCTTAGCCCAAAGCTTGCTTGGTTATTGAATACGAAAAAGAATTAATCAAAGTAGTATGACAGGGTGCAGAAATAAAAAACAGAACCTTAATATACAAGTAAAATGAGTATTAACATATTTAAATAATCAGCGACCTCGGATAAAAAGAATTGACGTCAATCTCAGTATGATCAAATAAACTAATATTATTAGTATTAATGCGAAAGTTACGTATTTGGTTTGGTATACAATTTTAGGACAGGCGACTTTTTGTCACAAATAAGATTTAAGGGGTTGAAATTTAGAATGGGGAATACATAATTTCTTATATTAGGGATATACCTACCTAATAATAATATTTTTATAATGCTTTTAGTAAGAAAAAGTTTTCAGGACGCGATAAGATAAACTGAGAACCACGCGCGCAAAAGCTGATTAAAATAAAAACAATAAAAAATAATGTAAACTTTAGTCCATACTTTCAAACCATATACCTACTTGGTGATTAGAAACAAACGTTCCCAAAAATATTATGACTACAGTCCACAATGGGGACAAAAGATTAAGAAATACTATTTATACATTACATTGTATATCAAACCGGCCTTGCATGAACACTTTTATTAAGGCGCATGCGCGTAATGCTTTTTTTTTATCTTTTTTCTTAATAACTGAAACGATCAAAAATGTTATGTAAAAATATCAAGTTCTATTCAATTTCTCTAGGTAATACTGGTTAAGCCTTTTTTTACGGTCCTGGTGTAGATTCCGAAAGAATTTGTATTGAATGATAATGTATTTCAAAACAAGGTAAAGATTTTGTAAATATCGTTAAACGTAGGTAAATAGAGACTTAAATGGCATTAACGTGTTAAGGCCATTATTTTTCGAAGGTACCATGAAAATACATCTACATATTACTATACACACATAAACATTGAACGGATTTGCGTAAACAATACATTAGCAATTCATTTTAAATAATAATTTTGCGGTAATAATCGCCTTAAAAAATATATTGAGTCAGACAAAGTTCAACCGATATCGCGTCATGTGACGCAAAAGCAGAATAAACTGGACCATATTGTGTCAAACAATTCACGGGTCAAACAATGTTTGTATTTTCGACGGAGTTATCATGGTTAATTATGGTAAATGGGAAACAATGACAGTTAAATTGATATGTGTTTACTAATACTAGTAAGATATTGCAAATTGTGATTACTTGTTACTAGGGGAATATCATTACAGTAATATTGAAACTTTTTTTAAATATTTCATTACGTTTTGAGAAAACAAAAGAAGCTAATATTTCAACACGTTCAAGTTAACTGCGCACCTTTCTGCCCGTGACGTCACATCGACGCTCTTACCAGATAGCATAATTATATTTTATCGTACCAGAGTACGGGCGGGGTGAATGCGGGGAAGTGTGTGTGTGCGAGTGCGAGGTAGTCGCATTCCAGTCAGGTGCGCAGTTAGCTTTACCGGGTCGTACACAATACTAATGCTAAGCAATTTGTTTACGAGTATTTGCCATTAAATGCAAAATGAACCATGCCGAAGTTTTGCCATATTCAGAGTATTTGAATATAGGTTTGCCTTCACATTCTAATTCTAATAGAGTTCAAGTCATTGTTTAAGATGACTAGTTAATGAATAATATGACTGGATCAGTGATTTATAGTAAACAAATTCATAACGCAAACACATAGTTTTAGATTGTTTATTTGATTAGCCCCCCCCCTGTTTTGTCTCCTGTCATCCGCTTTGAAATAGAGGGAAGTCGAATCTTAACTTCTAACTCCTTCTATGTTCTTTTGATTAATTTCGTTGCGGGTCCAATGACAGTTTAACTTTCCCCTGGGACAAACTTGACCTCCACTGGTTGGGTTTCTATTGGCGGTCGTTGTAGATCCTGGCTACACAGCAGTAGGAACAAGAGGTAGAAATAGCAATTCTGAAATCGCTTCGCTGCGGTATTTTTACAGCTACTTATTTCGCTCCGTGTAACGAATGTTACTTTGTTTAAGCCCCTAGCCTAGATATCTTAAGATTTTTTCGTCTAAAATGACGACCATAGAGAAATTTCGCGCAAAATATTTATCCAGTTGTTATACATTACGTATGGGCTCTACTAAATTATAAGCTAGGTAATAATAATGTGTTATAGATATTAATTTGTACTCACTTCACTCCAGGCGTCAGGTGGATGGGGAACTTCTCTAAATATTCTCTGATCTGGCTGACTGAGGGCCTGATGATGTCCAATCGTTTCTTCAGCGCCTCTTGGAAGGTCATGCTTCCACCCATCGCTTCAGCCGTCCTGTTAAAAAGAAGTTAACATCAGAACTACATTTTTGCTGCGAAATAGAACTTATTACCTACAACTACATTAGATGCAACAGTGAATGATTGATGTGCTGACATCCATACATAGAGTAATCTTATCAGCTTAAGCTTTATTTTAAATGCCTCAATCTTCCATATAGCCAGTACTTTTTGAGATAAACATATTGTGCCACGACCTCGCCTACTGATAGAAGTTTGACTCGCCTTAGGTCATGGGAAGGCCCTAGATCAGGTCAATTATTTTTGTGATGACTTTTATCAAATCACTTTATCTCACCAGCTACAGCACTTTGACAGCACATGAGCTCCCCTGGCCTACTTGGAAGTCTTTAAATAGACTTCGGACGCAGGTCGGCCGTAGTAAGGTTAATCTTTTCAGGTGGGTATTCTTGGATGGCTCAAACTTGGAGTGCAGGTGTGGTTTTGTTCCCCAGTCGACGAAGCACATGATGTCATGCCCTGCGTGCCCAAACAACTGCACGCAGGAAGATTTAATGAAGGCTACTGACAACGCTATTCCTGTGGCGGAGTTCTGGGCCGAGGCTGTGTAGGTTTGTTGTCGACACGACAAGAAGAAGAAGCACTTTGGCGGGACATGGACACCCATCCCGTAGCGGTTTCTTCCGGGGCAAACCCGAAACTTGCTTGGTGTACAAAGTAGCGTCACAGAATAAGTAATAGTACAGGTACAGAAGGATTACTCCGCAAGACGATTTAAATAAATGCGAGTCTTGCTACGACGCGATACAGTGGAATTCAGCTCGCACAGCACTACGTACCTACAATTTTATTCACCTACAAGTTTTGTCTCTTTCTATCGCGTGCCTCTGAACTCTTCTTACGCTGTTAGGGTTGCTGTCTAGTGAAAAAATAATTAATCTACTTATTTGTAATGAGGTACGTATGTAGTTAAGTATGCATTCATTATGGAAAACCTTCATAGTAGGTTAGGTTCCTATACTATCCTAAGAATTATTGATTACCTACATGGCCAACATACCTTTCAGCATCTTTGGGAAGCGAAAAAAAAAGATAAATCCGGTAGATTACTTTTCGAATTTAAACACCCGAACGCCGCACAATATTTCTTGCTCTTTATGTCCATTTTTAAATAATACTTCGATCATAGAATTATAATCATACTACTACAACGCACGCCACGCGCCAGCGTCCTGACGAGCGCGCGCGTGACACTCGACTGATATAATACCCGCCGGCGGGGCGCTTCGCTGTAGGTAATTATCGGATGTACCGCGCGGAGTGAGCCAGGCCTGGTACCGTGCCTTTATTGTGGAAAAATAAATAAAACTCGTAATAGCTCCAAATTAGTACTATTACAGACAAGGTAAAGGACCAAGGACATTAACGGTATAATCATTATAATTTATAGCGGCAAGGCAGCTATAATCTCATTTTAAAAATATCTTGTTGTTTAGCCGTAAAATAAAAACATCGAAAACAACGATGATTTCACCTTTAATAGTCACGATATCTCTTATCTGATTACTTTTGATAATATCAGGACAGGATTTAATGAATTTCTCGATTTATCTTGTTTTGATGTTTGTTACTACGCTACATCGTAAACAGCTGTTCAATGATGCGTCATTTTTAAATACCTATTGACTATAACAATCAAATAACATGATTTGCAATCACAAAGGCAAACTTAAGTAAGTGCGAAGATAAAAAATATCAGTGATATGACTGGGTAGATATTTTAACGAAAAACATTATCTTAACAATGGGCTAATATTTGTTGACAACATGTTGTATTTCACAATATTGGAGAATAAACAACGTGACTATATAAAAATAGAAATGTGAGCCATATTGGGAGCGGTGTTTGAGGAAACCCGTGGAAAAAGCCTTTGTCCAGCAGTGGAAGCTAAAGGCATCAGGTTAAAACGAACGAACTATATCAAATCAAAGCAGCAGTTTTCCGTATTTTCGGGGAATCTGTGACAGCACCTTTATCGGGAGTGACAGCGCAATCATGCTATATCTCATCATGAGTGAAAGAAAAAGGTGTATCTGAAAATTTGAAAACCACGCAGGCGGCAGTCCGGAACAGCTCCTGGACGCTATGCTGGGGTGACATCACTTGACGGAGACCAGATAATAGTACTTACAGCCTCTTGACCTCGTCTCCCTTCCCGCAGAAGTTGGCCAGCTCGTCGATGCCCTCATCCCGGATGACGGTCGAGTCCACGTCAAAGCAGACGCAATCGGCAGTCCGGAATAGCTCCTGGACGCTCTGCTGGGGTGACATCACGCTGATGGAGACCAGCGATAGAGTCTTGAGCGTGGCTAGCTGGATGTTGTTCTTGATGCTGTGGGATGGTACTTGGGTCAATAAAGACAAACTTTCAAAGTGCAAACGCTCAAAACATGTAACATTAAATTACAAAGACCCTTTTTCTATAGTTTCGTTAAAGCGAACATAAACTAACAGATTACTTTAAAAAAAGCCCCGTAAATAGACAATTATTTAACATTGCCGAATAGCTAGAAGCATGACATGGAAAACAGTATTTGCGCTCGGACGAAGATACTCGAAAAATAATATTTTCTTATTTATTTAGGTTTTTTTTTTAAACGCAAGAAGTTCTTTAGTTGCTCTAAAACAAAACGTTTTTGTGAGTTTTCTTTAGATTGATTGATTTAGGAAAAATATAAAAGAAACCAGCAGTTCAAAAATTAACAAAAAAAAAATACGTATGGCAAAACACCAGTCAACTGAAATTCAAATTAATTTTATTTCGTTTTATATGGAAAAAAATCTAACCGCGTGCACAAAAACCGCAACCACATCAATTTTGCACGCGTAAAAAATATTTTTCACCCGTTCGTCAACTCCTGCGCATCTGACCTCAATACTGAGGCAAACAGGCTTGGAAACGAGTGCGTTGTGTCGTGTTACAGAGAAACGCATAACAGTTGTTTACAGGATTCAAGTGTTATTGACCATGGACACAATATGTGTCATAAATACTTTGATTATTTACTTTGGTGGTTAAATAATGCTTTTGATTTCATTATATTGAGAAATTAAGTTTTTTACTGTGATTTACTTTATTAAATACTAGATTTCAAATATTATAATTATTTTTATGTTATGTGATACAATTTATTTTGATTTCTTTTTCTATATTTAGATTTTTTATGTATTTCAGATTATTATTTTGCAATTTTAAGGATGTACTTGTATTGGAATGTATGTATTTTTTAATCAACGATTATATTGTATGTAAATAGAAATAAGTTATTATTTCTTACAGTTATGTTAGTTAAGGTATAAAAATAGCCCCTTTTATAGGGTAGAAACTTCTAGCAATGGTGCGATTTCTCTAGAAGTTCATGGCATGCAAAAAAAATATATCAAAGTACCTGTATAGTGCCATCTTCGGTTTACTCTGCTAACAAAACGAAAGTGAGCTGTTACCTAGACTTCTTGTAACGATCTGATATCGTTTAAAGTTGAAATAATAAAGAGCCACTTGTAGGGAACTAACGCGAACACGCCTCCGTCGAGTGTGATATCAGAAAGTACTGTATAGTCACATCATCACCCTTATCTCTTTATATCCACACAACACGCGAGTCAGCCTGTGATGCGAGCTACAAAACTACTCTCTGAGAGCTACGTACTATGAATGACGTCATACCGCGTCTTCATTGAAAAGACATATGGCCAGACAAGAGCCACACTCAAAGTAGGGGCGCCGAAACTACGTGTGTCTCACTCACTCGCGATAGAAGCGTATGGAATATTTGTGGGAGAACTTGTTTTGCGACTTGCGTCGGGTGCAAAACAGATAAACGGCTATTAAGATTGGCGGAATTAAATGTTTTGATAGAGACTAAAAATATTTTTTTAAGATTAATGTGTCTATGCAATAATGATCATGTTTATACACGCTGTAGGTAGACAATGTAATAGATTAATTAATCCACATTAAGTATGATTTATTGTAATTAGCTTTTTTAATAATTGTTGAAATACCTTAAAATAAATAATTACTAATGTAATTAATTATTAATGGTATTTTCTACATGGTATTTTTATTTTCTGTATAATTTATTAATTTGTAGCAAATAGTACTTATTTTCTAAACATTTTCTGTTTAATTCAGTATTCTTCTTTTTATAAAAAATAAAAAAACATATTGTGCAGTATAGATTATCTTTATAATTAGATAAGAAATCAAATAAAGATTAATTTATTAAGGCACTTTCTGACCTTGGTACACCAATATCATGTGATAAATTATCAAGCAGCGGGTTATCTATTACACGCATTGACAGAATGGCATCTTCTTTCGGCGATCTTTTCCTTGCTAGAATTGTTATTGTTTTCATTACGGGTGAATAAACATGCAAGTTATCTGTGGGTGATCCAATGAGTATCTTTATGCAGCAAGAAGTAAAGCCCTTACATCATGTAATATTATTATAAAGTACAACACACACAGGTAAGCTTAGGCTTAGGCATGCAACTGGCTGAAACTCATATCTATTTTTTGTTTGTTATGTCCAGTTTCAGCCAGTTTGATATTAAAGACTGGTAGATCAATAAAAAGCCTAGTAACTTCAAAACTGGATGATACTGGACATATTAGGTATTTATCAAGCTGTCAATGGATTTTCGATAAGTACACAAATAATGCATTATCATACAAATTGTTACCTTGGAGTTCAAATGGAAAAATCCATTTACTTAATTCCTTTACATCAGAAGAAACTTTTTCAAACCTGTGGCTATTTCTCAGATATGGGTAAGTACTTACTTAATTAACAGATTAGTTCTCAACAGATTGGTAAACTAACTTATATGTTAGAAGCTGAGATGGTAAATGAATGGCTAGAAAAGTTCTGTACAAATTAACTTGTTTATTTTTCAAAGTCATACTTATTATACAATAGATAATGATCGGTATTAAATCGATAAGAAAGGACTTAGAAACAACCTTGTATAATTGTTACCTTGCCTACTGTGCTAAACAGCTGCTTAGACATCAAAATAAAATAGTATTAAATTAATTGCCTGTATGCTGAACCTTTAAATGAACTGTGGGAAAAATACAAGAAAACACTGGGTTTGCCTGTTAGATATCAAGTAAATGGTATTTTATTTAGATAAAGGTTAGTCCTAGGTCAAAATAAAGGGTAAACAAGGTCTAACAATACCTGTTCAAGGTTATTTTCTAACAACTTATCTAATACAATATTTCGTAAGTAAAACTTACTGTAAGTCAATTCGATGCTTGAAAAGGATTCTGTGAGCCACGTTCATTTACAAAGTTAAATTAATCCATTTAATACTTACAAAACAGAATTTAAATGCGCACCGCGAGATTGTAATGGATTTTGTCAGAAACTAATGTCAAATTGACACTGACAGCTGCCTTAAGATTTTTTTTTTTCAGCAATGCCATTCGCATTTTGGTAGTTTTGTATTTTTCAAAATCCTTTCAATTTCATTATTACATTATTATAAGAAAACAACATAATTAAAATAAAACGTAGTGCATAAATATACATTTCTAAAAAATATTAATTATGGTTCAAAATTCCCCATGAATTTTATAGAAAGTTAAAACTTGTCTATGGTTAAACAAGAAATTTAAAAATAAATGAAAATAGCGCGAAATTAAAAAGTTTTTCAGAAGTTTTGGAGATATTTTCGTTCGTGGTTTTTTATGTATTGATATTGCATAAAATGAATGTTGTTAAAAGAGAAAAACGAAACAACAATAATGCCAGAACAAAATATGATTTGGTCAGAAAAGATTTGACATTGGGTAGTAAAATAAGTCTTATTATAATTTACCAAATCAAAACTTAATAAAATATGTACTGACTACCTAATATTTTTATATACTTAGGTATTCGTGGAACTACATCTATAATGCCAACTGTGTCGTATGCAACATCCAACCCTTCGCGAATACCCAATAAACAGCCCCGCTACCAGTTTACAAGAGAAGAAATGGGTACTGCCACAAAAAAATCTTGTATGGGGCCTCCACTTCAATCGCCAAGGAGTTTAAAACGAAAGTAATTATTTTACTTACTATTTTTTGTCTCCTAAATTAGTTTTTGAGTTAAAGGCTCCTTAGCATAAAGGCATCAAATACCTAAATAAGCAAAGTTAAGTAGGTATATAAATAATTGGTTTTAATAAAATAAATACATCTTGATTGTTTGAAGAATAATAGCTTCAAGCTCAACCAAACCCGAATCGTCATCAAGTGGTCCCAGGCCAAGAGTGCTGGCTAGCGATTCTGCGGCGGATACCCAGGACATGGTGACGCCTAAAAACAGACCTAGTGCCTTGAGATACATCAGCAGTAGTAGCCGCGGTAAGTCAAAAGTAGTAACTTCTGATTAAATTACTTCGAACTAATTTGGTGTTTCTAGTTTCACCAAAGCAGCTTCAAAAGTCGGAAATTATTCAAATTCAAATTCAAATATTTACCTTTTTTATTAGACAATTTATTATTAGATAAAGTTTAATCTTTACAGGAGGACACAGTGGACCAAGATCCGGTCGGTCAACAAGCACATCGGCTGTTGAAGCCAGCGTCATTCTCGGTAGGCTCAAATCTAGTAATTATTTTTTAAATTGTGATAATTTTCTTATTATAATTTTTTATCTTCGCTAATTTATAGCTATATCAGAAGGAAGAGGGATGGCAAGAGGTGAAATAGGTATAGCTGCGGTGGATCTAAGGCACCCAAATCTAGTCCTATGCCAGTTCAGCGACACGCTTCTGTACACCCATACGCTGACGAAAATAAATTTCTTCAATCCTATTGAGGCATGTATTTGTAGCAAAGTCTGTTATTTGTTATTGTTGTTATTTTTGGAATTACCTATTACTTCATTGTTTGTTTATTAAATAAAAATACGGGAACACCCCAGCCCCCGATTATGTCACAGGTCACAGCTAAATCATATCATCGGTAATTTCTATTATCGTCTGGCTGTAGGTGTCTTGAAGATTCGTTATATTATTAAAACTTTATTAAATACTATTAAGTATTAAATACTTTTCATTGTTTACTTTATATATATAGTTAGATTAGTACCTATTTAGAAAATGTTTTTCCTACCATAAGATGAATATACAACATTTTATAATGCCTACTTGAGTAGATGGTAACCGTTTTCTGATTATAAAATAGTACCTACATTATTTAAATAAACTAAAAATAATTATGGATGACAGATAATAGTGCCTCATACGTTCTGCGAAGGCGTGCAACCAAGTCAACTATACAAACTGATAAGAGACCAATACCCACTGATAAACCTAACCACCGTGCAAAGACGGCATTTCAATGACGCAGCCGGTCGGCAACAAATACAAACACTATGCGCACCAGAATATAGTGCGGTATATTTGCAAGTCTTACCAAAGTAAACATTTTTAAAAACATTTATTTTTGTTATTGATTTATTCTGTGCAATTTTTACTGCTTTCACTATTTTTTTTTTATATTTTGCAGGTTTTACGCTCTCACGGCTGCTGCAGCAGTATTAAAATACGTTGAATACATACAATGTGTTGTTTTTGCAAGGGAATCTCTAAAGATTCAATACCATTCTTCTGAGAATACGATGATCATTGGTACTTATCATAATTATTGCATCATAAATAATAATTGTAATAATTACAATGTGTGTAGGACCTACACACATTGTAAAAAATATTTTTAATCATTACCTAATGATTATGTTTAAAACGTTACTAATGTTTTCTGGATTACACCTTTGAATAAATAGTGTTAATTTTTCAAGGAGGTATTCTGTACCTACTGACTCAACTCTAATGTTTTCACAGATGTTGGGACAGCGACTCAACTTGAATTGGTACAGCCTCTAATACCATCAGCCGGGCCAACTTGTTGCCTTTTAGGAGTTCTAGGTCCAACATACACTGTTGGTGGAATACGAGCATTGAGGGCTGCTATTTTACAACCTTCTTGCAATAAAGATTTCATTGAAAACAGACTGGACGCATTACAGGATCTCATCGAAAATGAGTCGGGTTTGATGACTAGTTTGCAGGTAGTAGCCTGATAAATATACTGAAGTTGTTATCTTTCTTTATTATTCTCAAGTTATTTATTGTTTACTTTATGTAGGATGTTATCAAGAAACTGTCCGATATCGACAAGATACTCCTCTTATGTATGGAAAATCCGAATCAGAACATGGACAAATTGGGTGAAGCTCAACTAAATCAAACATTGTTATTGAAAACAACCATGGACATGGTTCCGAAGTTGGTTGAGGCTTTAGAGTCTGCAGATAGTGGACGGCTGAGAAAGATTAAAATGGTGCGTTATTTTTTAATCACTAGGTGCTCATTAGAGCACCTCAGTAGGAACCATTAAGTAGGAAGGGATTCTTCACAAGCCTTTAACAATGACAAGAACTCATGTTTTGTTATAGGACTTTGAAAATCAAAATTACAAGGAAATAGCTGAACGGATACATAGTGTTATCCAAGAAGATGCTCATTTAGAAAAAGGTGCCATGGGTAGCTTACAGAGGTGCTTTGCTGTGAAACCTGAAATAAATGGTTTGCTTGACGTTGCAAGAAGGACTTACTCCGAACTGATAGAAGATATTCAAAAGATCGTAGAGAATTTGAGTGAGAGTTACGATCTACCACTAAGACTAAATCAAAACATGCTAAAGGGATTCCACATAGTACATCCGATTGCACCAAAAAATAGACGCAACTTTTGCATTGAAGAATTACCCCCAATTTTTATTCAGGTTGGTTCCGATCTAAAAAACTAACTTTGCCTTCCTCTACTCCGAATACCTGTTAGAGAAGATGTAATATCCCTGCTAATGTATTTTATGGTTGTTTAGGTCCATCATAGTGGAGCCAGTGTATCCATGACAACAGAAGAATTAGTTGTTTTAGATCAGCAAGCAAAAGAAGCTCTGAACGAAATACAAAGAATGAGTAACATGTATGTTAAAATAGATTTTAGTACTTTATAGCTTAATTTCTAATATTCTATCCTATTGCTTATTTTTGCTCATAATTTTCAGTGTTATCTCTAGTTTGCTGAAAGATTTGCGACCCTTTATGTCGAGTCTCTACAAATTATGCGAAAATGTAGCGGAGCTGGACATTTTGTTGGCATTAGCTAACGTAAGCAAATTTTTGACCCTTTGTATTTTTTTAACATCTAATAATCATTCAGAATGATTATTATTATTTCTGTTACTTTGCAGGCAAGTATGGCGGGATCTTACATCAGACCTCAGTTTGATAATTATCTTGATGTAAGGAATAGTGTGCATCCTCTTCTAGATTATAACAGTCAAGTTTTACCGGTGCCAAATGACGTTGTTAGTAATCTCATTATTATTATTTTTTTTACAATTAAATTACAGTACATTTTCAATGTTTTATTTTATTTTTGTAGAACGCAAGCCCTGAATACAATTTTACTATAATCACCGGACCGAATATGGGAGGCAAAAGCATTTACATTAAACAAATTGCTATCATGCACGTCATGGCGCAAGTAAATATTATCTACCTTTCTTATTCAACGTGTTGAGTTTTTTTTAGTTTTATTATATTTTCTAAAAGAAGGTCTTAATTTTTGTTGTTATTGAATTTTCAGTTGGGCTGTTTTTTGCCAGCAACTAATGCAATACTAAGAATTTGTGACAGAATATTCTCGAGAATCGGTTTTAACGACAGTGTTGAGTTGAATGCTTCAACGTATGTTTTGGAAGTATGAATATGACCTACTATTTCAATTATACTTAATAAAAAACATTTTAATAAGTACACTGAACATTATAAAATGGTTACAGATGAAAGAAATGCAGCACATATTAAAAAGTTTAACGCCGTCCAGTCTAGTGATAATAGACGAACTATGCAGGTCAGTAACGTGATGTTATCTTTATTTTTCACGATTATAATGTTTGTTATTCCGACTCCCAAAAGCTACTGAAGAAGAAACATATCACAACAATAATGGAGCTCATCTGACCTGACAAACAACGATTATCTAATTCTAATTAACCTTTTTTTTTTTTTTGGACTATCCCGCGGATTTATTGCCGCGGTTAAATTTTAATTGCACTTCAGAGGTACGTCAACTGAAGAAGGAACCAGTATTGCATGGGCCATTTGTGAAGAACTGTTGATAAGTGATGCATTTACTTTCTTCACCACCCATTTCATGTATTTGACGCGACTACAGGATTTGTACTTCAATGTTCAGAAGTAAGTAGTTGTACTGTAATACTGTATTGATAATAATTACTTAAAAAACAAATTTTGGCACTTAATCATCTCCTTTTATCTTCTCTTTTACCAGTCGTCATACAGCAGTGACTGAGGAAGACGTTACGAATGGTGAAAATTCTCAAAAACGGATCATTTATCAACATAAAATAGTTCCTGGAATCTCGAAAATTGAGCACTATGGACTCTCACTAGCTGCAAAAACTAATTTGCCTGACGAAACAGTAAAATTAGCAGAAGAATTAGCTGAACTTATAGTCAGCAATAAACACGTAAAACTTTGCATTATGTATTAATAATTTTGTAATTTAATAATAAATGATTTCCTACTAAAATTCATTTCGATTTTTTTAGCCAAAACGATTATCCACCCCTGAAATGAGCGATGATGGAAAATTGTACGAATTAAATGCAAAACTGCGCATTGAATCTAGAAACCATGAAGATATTGAAGCTAACACAAAACGGATACTTCAAAAATTTAAATACGACAATCCTGATTTAATTGAACGGCTAAGATTACAGAAAAATAACACGAGTAAAACTGATGTTTCTGCAAATTATTCTTCTGTGTCTAATTCCAAAGAAGAAGCGACCAATTTCCAACCAAATGTAATAGTAAATAGAGATAAAAATATTGCAGATATTGGAAACAAATCCAATTCTTCAGCTATAAATACATCAATAGAAAATAGTAATCCAATTGAACCTTCTAACGCAAACGGAAATAATTTTACTCTAGTGAAATCATCTAATGAGTTACTTAATACTATGATGCACAACAATGAAGAAAGTAATACAAAAGTATGTAATAGTGATAATTCAGATCATGAAGTAACAAACCAAGTTTCAGAAGAAATCCCTGACATTGAAGATAACAACATAAACAATACCAAAAGTAGTTTTAGTAGTGGAAATCGTGGAAATAATAACGATGGAGAAGAAACGAAGACAAATAATGATAGTGATAGTATTGAAACTGTTAGCAGTACTGAAAGTGAAGATATTGCAGAAGCTCTTACTCAAATTCTCGATGATCTTTCTAACGAAACCGATCAATGCAAAGGTAGTGATATGTCTGTAGACGAGGAATTGATGAGAGAAACAATAGAAGAGATAAACGTAGAGCTTGAGAGTGGTGTAGCTAGCATTGATAGTATTGTACTTACACCACCTTTTGCATTTAGGGATTAAATAAAATAGTAAAAAGTATTTTTATCTTAATAATGTATATTATTATGCATGATGACTTCGTCAAATAAATTAAAATAATAAATAATGTACTAGCTACAATGTGTATTTTTTTTTAAATATTATTAATTTAAATTAAATAAACCTAGTGTGTATTTCAGCAGTACCGACCACAAAATATTAGTTCAATCACGGTCCGGCCCTGTCAAATATAATCGATATCATCGATACAAAAGAATAGGTGACAAAAAACAGCGAATAAAAAGAATATTTTAATAAAATATTTTTTTAACCAAGCGGCGAAAGTTTCTTCTGACTGATTTTTTATTTTGCATGCGACTCATTTTTTTTAAGTTTTGCTTTGGAGGTAAAATACAAAACCATAGACAAAAATTGCTGTAACTGGCAGAGTGGCAGATGTCATTTTATTTTATTGTCAAAATCGCATTGCAAATGGCCGTTTACCAAGCACGCATTTTTACAATAGTTTATCGATTGTAACTCTTGAGTTTTGTTAATTTACGGTGATTATATGACGCGCTACAAATATAGTGGTTAAGTAAAACAAGTAAGTGCATTTTTCTGGGTATTATTTGTGAAATATTGGCGCGTACCCGGTGTTGTATTGAACATGCTTGCGTTGATTTTTGGTATGTGAAGTGTGAGTTATCTTTGTAGAAGGCGGTCAGCATGTCGCTGCCGCCGTACCTGCTGGGGCCCAACCCCTGGGCCACGATGATGGCGCAGCAGCAGTTGGCGGCAGCGCAGCAAGCAGCCTTGCAGGCTCACGCTGCCGCCGCTGCTGCCGCGCCGCCGGTGCCGCCCTCGCAGCCCCCCAAGCCGCACCACATTCCCGAGGAGAAGATAAAGGAAAAAGGTTGGTTACGTCTTCTTTACGTTTTATGTTGGTAATGCTGCTTGACTCTCAAGTTTTTTTTTTAGGTAGGGGGTCATTCCATGACAAATGTTACCGAGGGTTAGAAACTAAATATGTTCTTTTCGCATTAAATCTGATGAATTTTGAAAGTAAACATTCCAAATTATAATGTGCAACAAAAAAATTCTGCAAGAAACAAGTAATTTTTAAGTTATTAGTCTTCAAAGTCTATACTTAAGTCAACTGTCTGAATGATAATTTTCTCTCTAATTATTGGTAATACGATTAAAAAAAAAACTATCAATCTGTGAAACGTTTTGCCACTATATGATTTGAGGGTATTTATCATAGTATTGGTAGATAACGCCATAGTCCCAAAAAAATTGATAATCATCAAGTTTTAAGTGTGTTTTCTTGTTACTTCGGCGATGTAACACCCGAAACAAAAAAACAGGTATTTGTTTTATTATTGTACCTTACACATGGATTAGGATAACAATATTTGGTAAAAGTAAGGTCATGGTAGTAATGATTTCAAATACTAACTAATATCTGAGCATGATACTAATTTAGTATGTTTCTTTCTTGATTAAAAACTGTATAGCCTGACCAGGAACATAAAAACCCTGGCACAGAGGCGCTTCAATTGCATTTGATAGTGCAACACTGAGTACAGTCGTACATGTGTTAAATTAATAGGCTAAATTTATGTATCAGGATTCAGGATTACGGGCTAATTTGATATTTTCATAAATTAACGAAAAATATTATTAAAGATAACCTGGTTTAAATAAATTAAATGAAACCATCAATCGAGCTAGTAGGATTTATTTTATTATTCATCAATAATCAAATTCAGAACATGAATATTCAACTGCAATGTCTGCTCATGAACGCTTCAAACTCGGTACTTCTTTCCCAATTCCATAAAATTCAAAACTTAGAAAGTGACAAAAAACTTTAAAATAGGTAGTTGAAACAGACTACAGCTAATTTTCATAGTGGACTGTACCATACGATAAACATGTCAGTCAATTTGACAACCTTTGTCGGAAACATTATTCAATGAAAATATTGTCCGAACCCTTAGTATTTTTCTTCGACAAATACATTAACACATCGTGAACCACTTTTCTTTCACGACTATAAAAATATTTTAGCAATTTAATTCACAAAATCAATTGCACACATTAAAATAAAGTTTGTTTACACTTTGACAACAATAGACTGACATGCAAGGTGACATGTCAATGAAGTTTTCAGTTACTGTTGCCATTAAAAGAAATTAGTACCATTAGTTTTCCGCAACATGGCGAGGGTTTTTATGTTCCTGGTCAGGCTATAACACCCGAAACGTTTCGGGTATTACATTTTTATTCATATGTCAATAATGTGTGTATATTGCTTGGAGAAGTCAAAAAGTATTACTGTGAGTGTCCTTAGACCTCCCACTAGCGCTGGCGTCGGAAAAGGAGTCATATTTCTCTATTTAAGATATTTTTGAAATGTCGACTTAACACTAAAATTAAGGTATTGCTAAAAAGTATCGATGTTTGACATTTCCATTAAATATAGTAATTAGAAATTAAAGTAATGCTATTTCAAGCCAAAAACAATAGAAAAAGCTATATTCTGAGGAAAAATTAAACTTGAACTTTGTATATTTTTTAAGAAAAGCTGCTTCGTAATTTCAAAACAGAATTCGCTCTATTTGTGTTTATTTGTTGTACTCCTTATTTTGTAGTACCTAGAGACTAATAAAACACCGATTTTATCGATAAAACGCGTTGCATTTTCGTACTCGTAACACCCGAAACAGAACTATTGTAACACCCGAAACAAAGAAAAAAATTATAAAAAAATAGTAAAACGTTTTATGTAACAGTGATTGTACAGCCTTGGCCAAAAGTATTGAGCACCCCCTAAATACTGCTTATACATGATAACTATAAAAGATACTCAAAGATATTTGATAAAAACCTTTCCTTGACAGGTTTTGAAACATAAACTCACGGCACAACGTGCAATAAAACACGTTTCGAGATGTTTAGCTATGATACTGTAGTATAGGCTAGTTGCCTAAAAAAATTTTTTTAGTCCGTAATGTTTAATATCAAAAAATATTGGACACGTATATTTTTATTTGTCAATCTAACAAATAATTACATAGTTATGGTGCGTTGAAGTTGCGCACGACGTCACCACGTGCGGCATTTTTAAGCAAGCGTTGACGTCACGGGCCTCTTCTTATGAACTTTGGGGCGCTTTATCTCTTTAAATTTTCATTAGTTTGAAAAAGTGAAAAATACGTGTAGAGTATTTTTTGATAAGTTANGGCACACTGGTGTGACATTTGTCCGTCGTCGAGTAGGCGAAGAATTTACTCCGGAGTGTGTGGTGGTACCTATCGTCAAACATGGCGGCGGCAGTGTGATGGTCTGGGGGTGCATGAGCGCCGCAGGAGTTGGGGAAATGTTTGTGTGTGAAGGACGCATGGACTCTTCAAAGTACATAAACGTTCTCGAATCCGCACTTCTGCCCTCGTTTACAACACTTTTTGGTGACACCAACATGGAGAGCGTCAAATTCCAGCAGGATAACGCACCTTGTCACAAACGATGGCTTGGTTTAGTGACAATAACATCGAGTTGCTTGAATGGCCTACCCAGTCACCAGACCTGAACCCCATCGAGCATTTGTGGGGTCTATTAAAGGGCAAGGTCCGGGGCCATTGAATAAAAACAAAAGAAGACCTAAAACGTCGCTTGCGGGAAGAGTGGAACGCTTTAACATGTGACGATTGTATTAAATTAGTACAATCTTTACCAAAAAGAATTTCTGCAGTAATTAAGGCAAAGGGTGGTCCAACAAAGTATTAATTTTTTGTTGTAAATAAACAATATANTACACTACTTCTCGAAACAACACGGCGCATTACAACCGCGAGCGCATCCGGCGCGGCGCCACCGTCGACAAGACCGTCTGCAAGAAGAACCTCGAGAAGTAGTGTTCTCGAGACAACACTACACTACTTGAGACAACACTACACTAGTCTACTTCTCGAGACAACACTACACTACTTCTCGAAACAACACGGCGCATTATAACCGCGAGCGCATCCGGCGCGGCGCCACCGTCGACAAGACCGTCTGCAAGANCCCTAGGGTTATACTAAGCCGCACAATAATGTCATGGCATTTTATGAATTTTGCTATTTTATTGGCATTTTTAAAATTTATTCATCTACTAGGTTTAGATGGTTGTCCTAAAAGATGCTTGCTTTTTTTGAGACTTGTGTATAATTTAAAGTATCTTTCATTTTCATAAACACCGTCTCGTAGATAAATAAAACACACTACTGTAACTACAAATAACAAGTTAGGAATATTAATGAGTCTGCTTAATCTTTTAAACCCCCTGGTATACCAATATGTTTTGATTTGAGTTTGTCAAAACAATTTCTGCGAGGGGTACATTAGTAATGCAGTTGGATATAGCTTTCCACACCAGTCATGATGGAAAGAGCTTATATTGCATCACAAATTATCAAAAGGACAACATGTAATAGTTAATAGGTATTTTAAAAATACAATTGTATTGATTTGTATAATTCTTTTCTACAGCCCAAAAATGGCTACAACTCCAGTCCAAACGTTTCGCCGAAAAACGCAAGTTTGGTTTTGTAGACGCACAAAAAGAGGATATGCCACCAGAGCACATCCGAAAGATCATAAGGGACCACGGAGACATGACCAGCAGGAAATACCGTCACGACAAACGTGTATACCTGGGAGCTCTCAAATACATGCCCCATGCTGTCATGAAACTGCTAGAAAACATGCCTATGCCCTGGGAACAAATCAGGGACGTCAGAGTCCTGTATCACATAACCGGTGCCATCACATTTGTGAATGAAATCCCATGGGTGATTGAACCAGTCTACATAGCTCAATGGGGAACCATGTGGATCATGATGCGTCGTGAAAAACGCGATCGTCGGCACTTCAAACGCATGAGGTTCCCTCCTTTCGATGATGAGGAACCTCCTCTAGATTACGCCGATAACATCCTCGATGTTGAGCCTCTAGAACCCATCCAAATTGAACTGGATCCTGAGGAAGATGGAGCTATTGCTTCCTGGTTCTATGACCACAAGCCCTTGCTGGGTACCAAACATGTCAATGGATCCACATACAGAAAGTGGAATTTGACTTTACCACAGATGGCGACACTGTACCGTCTTGCCAACCAGCTGCTGACGGACTTGGTGGATGACAATTATTTCTACCTCTTTGATTCAAAGAGCTTTTTCACAGCAAAAGCATTGAACATGGCAATACCAGGTGGTCCCAAGTTTGAGCCATTAGTCAAAGACAACTCAGCCGGAGACGAAGACTGGAATGAGTTCAATGACATCAACAAGATCATTATTCGCCAGCCCATCAGGACGGAATACAGGATTGCTTTTCCGTATTTATACAACAACTTGCCACACTTTGTGCAACTTTCTTGGTATCACACACCAAATGTGGTCTACATCAAGACAGAAGATCCTGATTTGCCAGCATTTTACTTTGATCCGTTGATCAACCCGATTTCGCACCGGCACTCAGTGAAGTCTCTGGACCCCGTGCCAGAAGAAGAGGACTTTGTTTTACCTGAAGAAGTGTCTCCATTCCTGCAGGAGACAGCCTTGTACACAGACAACACAGCGAATGGGATTGCATTGCTGTGGGCTCCCAGACCTTTCAACATGAGATCTGGTAAGTTAATCCTTTAAATTGTTTTCCTTGCTGTTTCTCCTTGTTACAGTTAAAATTGTTTGATTTAGCTGTTGTGAATCTTATTATTTATGTCGTATTCTCTCGTTAGGCCGCTCGCGCCGAGCCATCGATGTGCCTCTGGTCAAGACGTGGTACAAAGAGCACTGCCCGCCTGGACAGCCTGTCAAGGTCAGGGTATCATACCAGAAGCTGCTGAAGTACTATGTACTGAACGCACTGAAGCATAGACCGCCCAAGCCACAGAAGAAGAGGTGAGTACAAATAAAGTTGTGATTCCTATTTTTTTCTCATAACCTCAAACACAAAGATAATATTTTTGGACATAGGATACTCAATGGACACAAGTTTCAGCAGTACATCAAATTGAACAATGTGTTTTGCTTTGCTATATTTTATGAACTTAAAAGCAACAAAAATGTAGTCTCAATCCCAAGTGACTGGGTAAATTATTTTGAACTCTGTTTTGTTGGTTATTGAAGTTAGATGTTCATTGTTGTTATAAATGAAAACTTGTAAAAAGTGCAATTTCATAAGCCATATATTTATTTCTAATTCTTTTCTTTTATTTCTAATGGATTAGGATATCAAGAATGTTTGTTATTTCCACAGGTACCTCTTCCGCTCATTCAAGTCCACAAAATTCTTCCAAACGACCACCTTAGACTGGGTGGAGGCAGGGCTCCAGGTGTGCCGCCAGGGCTACAATATGCTCAACCTGCTCATCCACCGCAAGAACCTGAACTACCTGCATCTGGACTACAACTTCAATCTGAAGCCGGTGAAGACGCTGACCACTAAAGAGCGCAAGAAGTCCCGGTTTGGAAATGGTGAGGGTCTTTGTAATAGTTTTCATTTTTTTATACAGAACAAAGTAGGTATTTCCTTCTAATCATACCTGATGTTAAGTAAGAATAGTGATATGCAGTCTAGGATGGTACATACTTGCCCTGTATGTAAAGTGCCTATCACTCCCGCCTTAAAGAGGTTCTGAGTGTGTTCTTGAATTGTAAAGATTATGCAGTTAATTTATATTATAATCACAAAAGTAGGTGATGTAATATTCTTACATTTTCTTGGTATCATACTCCTGACATGTCTTTTACTAGTACTCTGAGGTTATCCAGTTTCTGCTCATAACAACGTAAATACTAAGGCCAAGTTCAGATGGCTACGCGTCAACGCATTTATATTTTATTTTATTTTAATACATTCTTACGCTTGTAAAGAGGTTCTGTATTATTATTACGAGGGTTGGAACGCGTCAACCTAACCTAATTTTCATAAAAGTATTTAGTAACAGCTTGCTTCAAATTGACCAACAAATAAGTGTAACCTTTCTCCCACCAGCATTCCATTTATGCCGCGAGATCCTCCGTCTCACGAAGCTGATCGTGGACTCCCACGTGCAGTACCGTCTAAACAACGTGGATTCCTTCCAACTGGCCGACGGTCTGCAGTACATATTCGCGCACGTCGGACAGCTGACCGGAATGTACCGGTACAAGTACAAGCTGATGAGGCAGATCAGGATGTGCAAGGATCTGAAGCATCTCATCTACTACAGGTTCAATACTGTGAGTATTTAGTTACTACCGAAGTTTAAGCATTAGAGAAATTTTTTACACAACATTTAAGTAAATTAATGAATGGAGAAATAAAAAATAAAATGTGACACAGCCTAAAAATCATATAATTAACCCCTCTACTACAGCTTTAAAAGACAGTACTCACCAAAGTCCGGTCGCCGAGCAGATAGAATTTCGTCCAATGACCCCAAGCTACCCATCCTTATCACTCGCACGTAATTATATTGCTGTCGCAACTGTGCGACGGGCGGCCGCAGTGAGTGTGCGAGAGCAACAGCACTAATTACGCGAGTGATAAGGAGGGGTAGCTTGGTGTCATTGGAAGAAATCCTATCTGCTCGGCGACTGGACTTTAATCTGGCACTTTATTTGATTTATTTTTAGAACTTTAATATTATTATTATGTTTTTTTCCCAAAGCATGTAGCTAACTTGTATCATGTGATGATAATCCAATATCAACCAATACTGAATTATCCTAATTCCTATCTGTAACCACAGTTTGTCTTATCCCACAGGGTCCCGTCTCCAAAGGTCCCGGGTGCGGATTCTGGGCGCCCGGGTGGCGAGTGTGGCTGTTCTTCATGAGAGGAATCACGCCACTGCTGGAGCGGTGGCTCGGAAACCTGCTCTCGAGGCAGTTCGAGGGACGACACTCGAAAGGTATTATTATGAATTATAAGATATTGGGGAATGGGTAATGTTATTATAAACTCTTCTAGACTCTTCACTTGCAGAGATAAATAGGTTCTAGCAAGCTTACAGCAAAAGAAAGAGACAACAGCTATAGTCTGGTCTGCGAGCACATAGAATTTTGTCCGCGACTGCGACGGGCGCCCGCAGTGAGTGTGTGAGCGCGACAGCAACATAATTACGCGCGAGCGATAAGGATGGGTAGCTTGGGGTCATTGGACAAAATTCTACGTGCTCACAGACCGGGCTTTAGAAAGAAACAGCGTGATAGTAGAGTAGTGCTTTGTTACGTCAAGTTCCGCAAGGTTTCGGACGTGAATATCATTCCAGCTCTGTTAGGTCATGTTTCCAGTAGAGGAACTTAGTCATGCGGTATACCTGTAAATCACTAACTTCAACTGTAAGTCCATATTCTCAAACTATTTGTGAGAAACGAAACGTTTTCAGCTTCGGTCTTGCCCTCCCCTCTCGCTCTGCGGTGTACGCGTCGTTTGCATAGAGATAATGTGATTGTTTGTAATGGTGTTAAAGGTAATAAAAAGCCGTACCATTAAATGTGGGTTTTATTGAAATACGTCAATGGCGACGAGGATGGGATCCGAACCCACGCGTGCACAGCCGTACCATTAAATGTGGGTTTTATTGAAATACGTCACTATTTATCATCTATGTTGAAAAAAAAAAACTGTAAATATAATACAGAAAAGGAAAAGCGTTCACGGTATTTACCAACTATATCCTATGTGCGCAGGAGTCGCCAAGACGGTGACCAAGCAGCGCGTCGAGTCTCACTTCGACTTGGAGCTGCGAGCTGTATTCTATTCTAACCAATATCAATTACAATCTGACCGAACAAATTAATGTAGAAAACGCCGGTCAGTCGGATCGGTTCCCTAACAGATTGTAGAATAAATAACTTATAGCCTGACCAGGAACATAAAAACCCTCGCCATGTTGCGGAAAACTAATGGTACTAATTTCTTTTAATGGCAACAGTAACTGAAAACTTCTTTGTCATGTCACCTTGCATGTCAGTCTATTGCTGTCAAAGTGTAAACAAACTTTATTTTAAATGTGCGCAATTGATTTTGTGAATTAAATTGCTAAAATCTTTTTATAGTCGTGAAAGAAAAGTGGTTTACAATGTGTTAAAGTATTTGTCGAAGAGAAATACTAAGGGTTCGGACAATATTTTCATTGAATAATGTTTCCGACAAAGGTTGTCAAATTGGCTGACATGTTTATCGCATAGTACAGTCCACTATGAAAATTAGCTGTGGTTTGTTTCAACTACCTATTTTAAAATTTTTTGTCACTTTCTAAGTGTTGAATTTTATGGAATTTGGTAAGAAGTACCGAGTTTGAAGCGTTCATGAGCAAACATTGCAGTTGAATATTCAAGTTCTGAATTTGATTTATTGATGAATAATAAAATAAATCCTACTAGCTCGATTGATGGTTTCATTTAATTTATTTAAACCAGGTTACCTATAATAATATTTTTTCGTTAATTTATGAAAATATCAAATTAGCCCGTAATCCTGAATCCTGATACATAAAGTTAGCCTATTAATTTAACACAGGTACGACTGTACTCAGTGTTGCACTATCAAATGCAATTGACGCGCCTCTATGCCAGGGTTTTTATGTTCCTGGTCAGGCTATAAATAGTTCTTCCACGTTTTTGGTATTAACAATATCCACCTATGTGCGCAGGAGTCGCCAAGACGGTGACCAAGCAGCGCGTCGAGTCTCACTTCGACTTGGAGCTGCGAGCGTCCGTCATGCACGACATCGTGGACATGATGCCCGAAGGCATCAAGCAGAACAAGGCTAGGACCATCCTGCAACACCTGTCGGAGGCCTGGAGATGCTGGAAAGCCAACATTCCTTGGAAGGTAAGAAAATGTTACTGTTTATGTAATATACAATTTGTAGGCCACGTACCGGAAAACGCAGCTTGAGACGTCCGCTCATAAGGTGTAAACCTTAAACCTTACTAACTGGAAACTTACATGACTAAAGTCTGGTCCGTGAGCACGTAGAATTTTGTCCAATGACCCCAAGCTACCCATCCTTATCGCTCGCACGTAATTATGTTGCTGTCGCGCTCGCACACTCACTGCGGGCGCCCGTCGCACAGTCGCGACAGCAATATAATTACGCGTGAGCGATAAGGATGGGTAGCTTGGGGTCATTGGTCAAAATTCTACGTGCTCACGGACCAGGCTTTAGTAATAAAATAACTGGTGTACCGACGATAATATCATAAAGGTAGCAAGAAGGCGCTGGATGCAGGCCCCTACCAACCGGTCAATATGGAAATCATAGGGGAAGGCTTATGCTCAGTTGTGAACATCCTATGGCTAATAATGTTGTAGACCTGTGGGCATCGAGTAGAATAATACCAGAAGCATCCTGCTGCATGGGGTGTAGATATAGTAGAAGGAAACTTTCAATGCAATCTTTCTAACGTTTTTCTCACTCATTCGTTTGTGGATTGATATTGTATGGAGTAGAGATGTGCCGCTGAGAAAGTTCTCGTTCCTGGCAATATTCCCAGTGAGAATATTCTCGAGAACCGAGAACGCTCCCGGGAATATTCTCAGTGTTCTCGACAGAAAACATTTAGTTTTAATTTAAATTTTGTTGTTTATATGTGATATTATTTGTAATGTTTCGATGTATTATTCGCGGCTTTAGGACTTGGCTACGGTATTTGAACATCAGTGTGCCTCTGAGTTTTAAGGCCCTTGCCACCCTGGCGGATTGCAAGCGGATTCGAAGTGGATTTAAAGCGGATTCAAAGTGGATTTAAAGCGGAGAGGCGACGCGACGGAGAAGCCGCGTGAAAATATCGTGAAGCTTCCCGAAGGCTGCCCAGCTGAGCTGGATTCGATGATTGACCTTTTTTTCGAAGTTGGACCTACCTAACTGGACTGTTTGCCCCAGGTACACATTATATTCAACAACTTCGGTATAGAGACTCCAACTTTTAGAGGAGTGGGTGCAACACGGTTTTTAGACATGATTTTTAAATCTTGTCCATGTTCATTTTGAGACCCACTTGTTGAGAGACTCTATTGAGACCATCGAGCATTGTGCCTAGATCTTCCACGATCTCAGCCATGACTACGATATCGTCTGCTGTCTGGGTTATGTACTCGCCGTTGATATGTATGCTGAATCCGCTCCAGCCCAGAAGCTTGAAAACATCGTCCAGGGCGGTGGTGATGACGTCTCCCTGTCTCACCCCTCTCTGCAACTGGATAGGTTTCGGGTCCTGATCTTAAAACGGACTGTCACTGTGGCGTGTTTGTACAAGCCTTTCAACACTTTCATGTATCAATAGTCAATTTGGCACAGTCGAAGAGACTGAAGCGCTGCCCATGTCTCAATCGAATCGAAGGCTTTCTCATAGTTCACAAACGCAAAGTGGCTGATTAAACTCCTTGATCTTCCGTATAATTTGCCGTAGCGTATTTATTTTGGTATGTGGTACTGAAGCCTTTTCGAAAACCGGCTTATTCGGGGGGCTGAAAGTCGTCGAGCTTGCTAGCATGAAAATTCGTAATGACTATCGAAAACAGCTTGTAGACATGGCTCAGAAGCGAAATGGGTCTATAATTCTTCAACAAGGTTTAGGGCCTTTAGTACCGGCGTTTAGCCTGCTTTCAGAAGCTCAGACGTGATTACGGTGCCTTGTTGTTTTTCAGCTGTTTGAGAACCATTCTAATCTCGTGCAGACTAATGTACGGGATATATTCGTTAAGTGTCGGATCAATCTAGCTAGCACGTATTTTCTATAAAAATGTGTCAAATGATCCGTCAGACAGGTTATCCACAACTTATCAAGAAGTGTCAAAACAGGCCCTTACTAAGCGATTGTGAAATATGGCCTTAATGTCAAATAAGAATAGTTTAAGAAACTAAAAACACGCTTTTAATTACTAACAACACTAAAAAGTCAAAAATCATCAGGACCTTGGACATCATCTAGCATTAAAGTGCTCGAAAAGACAAATCCAACGAACCCAAACTCGATGAGTTTCCGCCGTTTCTTTTAGGAGTTCCTATGGCAACCTCCTGACTCCATCATTAGGACCCTGGACATTATCTAGCACTTAAAGATCTCGAAAAGACATCCAATGAACCCAAACTCGATGTGATTCTGCCGTTTCGTTAGGACTTCTTTTGGCCGCCTTCCAGTCCCATCAGACCAGTTGGTACCACAATATTGTATTGTCATTTCTAATCTACATATTATTGCCAAGTTTCATAATGATACAAGACTTAGAAGTGCGTGTAATTCAGATTCTAAGATTCCATTACATAGTTAGTTACATACACGACGACCTAATAAGAGCGTGTTAAAAACGAAAAAATTGACAGTTACATTATTTAATTACGTGTAAAAAGAAATTTCTGTCAACTTTCATATCATTAAAACGACATTTCACGACGAAAAAAATAAAATATAATAAAGTTGCAGTTGCCAAGAATATTGCCGAGAAAGTTCCCGAGAATATTCTCGGGAACACTGAGAATATAGCCTTTCACTGCAAATAGAGTGTATTGTTTAATATACACTTATCTGTTGACTTAATTTAATATTATTTTACTTAAGAAAGTTTGTTTATCTCCATTTTATAAACATGATTCTCAACCTGTCTCACTTAGGAGAACGCTCCCGGGAACGCTCCCGAGAATATTCTCAGCTGAGAGAGCGTTCTCGGGAACGGCACATCAATAGTATGGAGTACAAGATGTAAAAAGGAAAAATTGGACACTTTCTTTTTGTTTGCAGAATAATATGCGAGTTGATTCTTATTTTACTGTCTACTGATATTCGAAGAGGACAGTTGCCTAATATTCGTGACTGAACCTGTTTTCATTGTATTCTGCTGTATGAGACATTTTTCCGTTTCGTTTTCAATCTACATATTATTATGTATCATCAGGTGCCCGGCCTCCCAACCCCGATCGAGAACATGATCCTCCGCTACGTGAAGATGAAGGCGGACTGGTGGACCAACACGGCGCACTACAACCGCGAGCGCATCCGGCGCGGCGCCACCGTCGACAAGACCGTCTGCAAGAAGAACCTCGGCCGCCTCACCCGGCTCTACCTCAAGGCCGAGCAGGAGCGCCAGCACAACTACTTGAAGGTATATTCAAAATTAAACGTCTACCTACACTCTCAACTAACACTACACTACTTCTCGAGACAACACTACACTACTTGAGACAACACTACACTACTTCTCGAGACAACACTACACTACTTCTCGAGACAACACGGCGCACTACAACCGCGAGCGCATCCGGCGCGGCGCCACCGTCGACAAGACCGTCTGCAAGAAGAACCTCGGCCGCCTCACCCGGCTCTACCTCAAGGCCGAGCAGGAACGCCAGCACAACTACTTGAAGGTATATTCAAAATTAAGCGTCTACCTACACTCTCGGCTAACACTACACTACTTCTCGAGACAACACTACACTACTTCTCGAGACAACACTACACTACTTGAGACAACACTACACTACTTCTCGAGACAACACGGCGCACTACAACCGCGAGCGCATCCGGCGCGGCGCCACCGTCGACAAGACCGTCTGCAAGAAGAACCTCGGCCGCCTCACCCGGCTCTACCTCAAGGCCGAGCAGGAACGCCAGCACAACTACTTGAAGGTATTGTCAATTAAAAATGAAACGTCTAAAGTCCGGTCGCCGAGCGGAGAATTTCGTACAATGACCCTACCCATCGTTATCGTTTACACGTAAGTTATATGTATTGCTGTCGCGGCTGTGCGACGGGCGGCTGCAGTGAGTGTGCGAGCGTTACAGCAATACAATTACGCGCGAGCGATAAGGATGGGTAGCTTGGGGTCATTGGACAAAATTCTACGTGATCACAGACCAGACTATACCTACCCTCTCGGCTAACACTACACTACTTTTTGAGAGTGAATAGGCACTTACAGGGCAGATATGTACCATCCTAGACTGCATCTCACTTAACACCAGGTACGATTGCGGTCAAATATCTGCCTTCTTACATAAAAACTAAAACTTCGGTTAGCGTCGAGACATTCGTCCTTAGAAGTTTGATCTTTGTTATAATGAGTGAGAGTGCTAATTGCAATGGCAGCGTTTCGATCTTCGGTTAAAGTCTTCGAAAAATTCCGTCGATACGCCGAAGCGAGTAGAATAAATGCGGCCGCAACAGCGTATTACACTTGAAAATTTCGACGGGTTCATCCAGTGCCTAAGTAGCTCAGATGGACGAGCAGTCGCCCGGCAAGCGAAAGATCGTGGATTCGATTACCGCCTTAGGCAGCTCGATTTTTCAAGTTGTTTATTTATAATTTAGAGTAGAGAGAATAACGCGCGCATTACATAATGTTGTGTATTAAGACCATACTTTCCTATTATGTATTAAAAACCATACTTTCTCTCAGGACGGCCCCTACATATCTCCCGAAGAAGCCGTGGCGATCTACACAACCACAGTGCACTGGCTGGAGTCCCGGCGCTTCGCCCCGATCCCGTTCCCGCCGCTGTCATACAAGCACGATACAAAACTGCTCATCTTGGCTCTCGAGCGGCTCAAGGAGGCTTACAGCGTGAAGTCCCGGCTCAATCAGAGCCAGAGAGAAGAGTTGGGGCTCATTGAGCAGGCGTACGATAACCCGCACGAGGCCTTGTCCAGGATCAAGCGACATCTGCTCACGCAGAGGACTTTCAGAGAGGTACGAGTTTATTCAATTTGCTGCAATGTTTCTTCTATGTAATAAATATCAGACTAAACGCCACCATCTTATGTAAATTGTATAATTTTGTATAATTTGCTATGTTATTGTATCTTTTTCCATGCTTAATTATCTCAAGCTGATTTTAAAGCTCCAATGCCTTCGTAGCTCACTCAGACTAATCGCTCGGCAAGCGAAAAGCAAAAGGGTGTTAGCTCAATTCGCATCTGAGGCAATATTTATTTCAAGTAAAATAAAATATTCTGATCTGCTGTTGAATGTAACAAAAGCAAGTATTAATTAAGTACAGTCAGCGTTCTGTCGTGTCACCTAAATTGGCCAAAAAGTTGAAAACACAATCTTATTTCGATTGTAACAAAGATGCGTTGCGAACTTATTGGCTACTTTGGGTGTCAGTAACTACTTGCCGCTGACTGTTCAACATTATTATTTTTAATTCAAACTCCTCGTCTTCCAAACAGGTCGGCATAGAGTTCATGGACCTCTATTCCCACTTGGTGCCGGTATACGACGTGGAGCCCCTAGAAAAGATCACGGACGCGTACCTCGATCAGTATCTGTGGTATGAGGCCGACAAGCGACGCCTGCTGCCTCCCTGGGTGAAACCAGCGGATACAGAACCTTCACCGCTGCTGGTCTACAAATGGTGCCAGGGTAAGTTGTTTTAGCTAGAAAAATAGATAAAGTACGGCCAACGAGAAGCGATACAAAAAGTCGATTCGACTGTCGAATTGACAATCTATTCTGTCTCTTACAGATGACCCACGCTGAACTGTCCCACCAAACTCAATGACAGGGGGGCGCTATCATCGTTCAACTATATGGTTTCCAACATGGCAAAAATCGGAACCAGCGATCTGGTATTGACGGTGGCGCCCCACTGTCAATGTCATGCATAGGACAGTTCAGTATTTTGGAACTATACCATCTTGTGTATTTGTCGTAATGTCTCGTTCTCCCGCCAAAATATGTCAAAGTCAAACCCTTAGGCTGGGTTGCACCATCTTACTTTAACTTTGACAAACGTCAAAAATCTGTGAAATTCCATACAAAAAGCACCGGTTATCGTCATAGTTACAGTTAAAGATAGGTGGTGCAACCCACCCCTACTATTCCAAATGACCATGACATTGGGTTTGTTTACATTTGGTATCGCTTCTCGTTGGCCGTACTTTAGATACTCTTTATTGCACAACAAATCAATCTCTTACAGCAACAGAAGAGAAGAGATATATCTCAATTCAAGAAGATATCAAGATAAAATGAAGACAGAAGTGATGCGACTGCCCATAGTGTGCGTTGTGGCAAAGGAGATCTGTATGGGCATACCATCCCCTTGTTACAAACCTCACTTTGGTTGGTCGCATTGATCTACAACAGAAGAATCTCAAGATCATCAATGTGTCAAGCTTTTGCTGTTTTTAATGTGTATTTTTATGTATTAAGTATTACTTGCAGACATTATCCCAATAAGTCATGTGTCTTGCTGATATCTAAGACTAGCCTTACTTTGAAGTTAGACAAAATAATTGTAATTATAACTGTCTGGTTTTGTAAAGTTATTTTATGTGAGTCACCGTCTTGCTGACATTCTGGCCACATTTATCATTTATGTGACAAATGACTGAGAAATGTTTAAAAATGTAGTATTTCATGTTAAATACTCTAAACTGAAACTCTGTAAAATTTAGTTCTAGTTTTAATCTATTTGTATTGGCGTTTAGTGCCCATATTAACACCATCTAAATCAATACTATGTTCGCTCAGGCATCAACAATCTACAAGACGTGTGGGAGGTGGGAGAGGGCGAGTGCAACGTGCTTCTAGAGTCGCGTTTCGAGAAGCTATACGAGAAGATAGATCTGACGCTGCTCAACCGACTGCTTCGGCTGATCGTCGACCACAACATCGCCGACTACATGACCGCCAAGAACAACGTCGTCATCAACTACAAGGTTAGTTTGTAGTATAACTGTTCGTTCTCATTCGAGTTGTGACTCGATTCGAGGAGTAATAAGAGATAGATCTGACGCTGCCCAACCGACTGCTTCGGCTGATCGTCGACCACAAAACATCGCCGACTACATGACCGCCAAGAACAACGTCGTCATCAACTACAAGGTTCGTTTGTAGTATAACTGTTCGTTCTCATTCGAGTTGTGACTCGATTCGAGGAGTAATAAGAGATAGATCTGACGCTGCTCAACCGACTGCTTCGGCTGATCGTCGACCACAACATCGCCGACTACATGACCGCCAAGAACAACGTCGTCATCAACTACAAGGTTCGTTTAAGGACTTATCCCTACAACGTTATCCGAAGATTCCAGTATGTCAATCCTTTTCACTCCTTGCGAGATGCGGGCATGAGAGAGTGATATGTAGGTCCAACAATAAGCAGCCTCGCTCACTTCTTCAGTTTTATTTCGATAAGTTGTATAAAAATAGGTCCTATTTCCTAACAAACTTTCGATTGATAAATCAAAATATTATGATCGTCGTTAATGTAATATGTTTTCTCACTAAAGTAGTCTCACTTCGAGAATCTGACGTTATTTTTAGGAGAGAATCAGAGGATAAAAAAACCTATCTGTTTCTTGACCAAAAACATAAAAGCTGTTTTGTAAAATGTAAATCATCTATAGTCTGGTCTGCGAGCACGTAGAATTTTGTCCAATGACCCCAAGCTACCCATCCTTATTGCTCGCGCGTAATTATGTTGCTGTCGCGCTCGCACACTCACTGCGGGCGCCTACGCGCCTGTCGCACAGTCGCGACTGCAATATAATTACGCGCGAGCGATAAGGATGGGTAGCTTGGGGACATTGGACAAAATTCTACGTGCTCACAGACCGGGCTTTAGCTAGACTAATAATTCTTATCAAACTAGAAGAAAATTAATTACATAATTATTTTCCCCAGGACATGAATCACACAAACTCCTACGGCATCATCCGAGGTCTCCAGTTCGCGTCGTTCATAGTGCAGTACTACGGTCTAGTTCTGGACCTGTTAGTGCTGGGGCTGCAACGTGCGAGCGAGATGGCAGGCCCGCCGCAGTTGCCCAACGACTTCCTGTCGTACCAGGACCGCCAGACAGAGACGGCGCATCCCATACGGCTGTACTGCCGATATGTGGACAGGATTCATATATTCTTCAGGTACTATCGGCAACAGTGTTAACTGCCCATTGCCAGTCATGTCATCTCGTTTTATCGTAAAGAATCACCATTTGATTAGAGCGAGAGCAAAAACGGAAATAGATAGTTTACAGTGTGGCCGTGTGTATGTTAATTATTCAGTGAGCTTGAAAGTAGTGTAACTGTAGGAAGAATAATTGCTCGATGGAACGACCTCATAATGGTAGCTGTGCTATAAAAAGCTAGAGATCGTGTTTTGTGGCGTTCTCTAGAATTGGACCCATTAGTTGGTGAAGCATTGTAATATTATGTTCTAGTCTCATGTGTACTACAAAAACATGGGAGGCCAGCCCACACTACGTTTTTCGGTCCATGGTCACTCCACCACTCAAGAAGTTTTCTGTCCCAAAAGCCATCATTTCTAACGAGCTGGAAGCAGGCTAGTCTTATGAGACCAGCCTACTTCCACCATTATCTTATTACACGTCTCATCCCCCAGGTTCACAGCAGAAGAAGCCCGCGATTTAATTCAGCGCTACCTGACGGAGCATCCTGATCCCAACAATGAAAACATTGTTGGCTACAACAACAAGAAGTGCTGGCCCAGAGACGCGCGCATGCGGCTCATGAAGCATGACGTCAATCTGTAAGTAGACTATATATAAATCTTGGTCGCAAAATAGTCCTTATTGTGATTACATAAGATGTGTTTCGGCTTGCTGTTTCGACTACACACACATAAATAATAATGCCGGTAGCACACCTACAGCGCGAAAGCCTGACAACGAAATTCAACACACATCTATGCGATCACTTTGCCACGTTACTAATGTGGTATAGTGAACGGAAAAATTTGTCACAAAGCAACTTCAATACACTTCTCAACGTCTGCTTTGTATTGATATCGTTTCACTGTCATGGTTTTGGCAGAGGTTGGTTAGCGGCGTGATAACTCTTTCTAAGCCAATAAAGAAGGGCTTCTAAAGTCAAAGTTGTGCATTCTGTTTGGACAAAATTACATAAAGACATAATGTTCATGCGTGTATAGTTCCAAAATACTGAACTGTCCTATCCATGACATTGACAGTGGGGCACCACCGTCAATACCGGATAGCTGCTTCCGATTTTTGCCTTGTTGGAAACCATATAGTTGAACGATGGTAGCGCTCCTCTATCATTGAGTTTGGTGGGACAGTTCAGCGTGGGTCATCTATAATGCCAATGATCACGCGACATTTTTGAAGAAGAATAAGATGCAGTTCTCAACCACCAATCAACTAGCATGAAGCTAATAATTCTTAGCACAGAAATATAAATGAGACCGAATACAATCTTAACAAACCCTTGTAACTTATCATATCAAGTGATTAAGATGAGCGTCAATAAATAAGTGGTCTAATAAATGTGTCTAACAAACAGGGGCCGCGCGGTATTCTGGGACATCAAGAACCGTCTGCCGCGCTCGGTCACCACCATCCAGTGGGAGAACAGCTTCGTCTCAGTCTACTCGAAGGACAACCCCAATCTCCTGTTCAACATGGCCGGATTTGAGTGCAGGATATTGCCTAAAGTAAGTTTAATTTGTTTAGTGCTTGAGTCTATTTTTGGTTTTTATATTTCAGTCATGCTTGAACTGTTTCTCTTCGATATTTAGATGAACCACGAAAATCACTAAGTTGGACCTAACAATCTTGCTTAGTTTTAGATTTAAACTGTCTACACTTTATGATATTACGAGCCGTGTTTATCAGGAAAATGCTTGGTATTATTATATCACAAAGCAGGATGTTAGGTTTAAAATAAATATTATCAGAAGACCTATTTATTGCGTAGAACCTTGGCCATATCATTGTCCCAGCGACTTGGTTTCATAATTGATGAGCGTCGTTCTTCTTTATTTTCAAGAGTAGTTTTCTTGTTTCTTCGTGTACCAAAACAAGGACGCATGATGTTGCAATTCATAATCTAATATACGCTCGTTCTTCCCCAACAGTGCCGAAGCCAACACGAGGAGTTATCTCACCGCGATGGCGTGTGGAACCTCCAAAACGAAGTCACCAAGGAGCGCACAGCTCAGTGCTACTTGCGAGTGGACGACGAGTCGCTCGCCCGGTTCCACAACCGAGTCAGGCAGATCCTCATGGCATCTGGATCGACTACATTCACGAAGATTGTCAACAAGTGGAACACTGCTCTGATTGGTAAGGTTTTACAAATATAATAATAAAGGTTGTAGAACATGGTAATTTATTTGTACTTTAATTTAGAGAAATGAGTAGAAAAATAAATATTATTGAGTAATCATATGTTCGACGGCGTAACGAATAGGTAGCAGATAGCTTGGCTTTTTTTTATGAGCAGCACACGCGGGTTCCTGGCATTTCCATGCATTTATAGGCGATTACCGTACATCCGCGTGAATTTTAGCGGAGGCTCTTAGGACTTCGTTAGAGAAATATAGGACGGTTTCAATGCTTGATTGAATCTTAAGTTATTTACATTACAAGTTGCATAGTAGGAGTCAAAACATTCAAATGTAAAATTATTCACAGGTCTAATGACATACTTCCGCGAGGCAGTAGTGAACACACAAGAGCTCCTCGACCTCCTAGTCAAGTGCGAAAACAAGATCCAGACTCGAATCAAAATCGGCCTGAACTCCAAAATGCCTTCCCGATTCCCTCCCGTCGTGTTCTACACGCCCAAAGAGTTGGGAGGGCTCGGCATGCTGTCTATGGGACACGTTTTGATTCCACAGGTAAGTGTGGACATACAACTTTACGTTCATAAAATCCGCTGCTTTCAATACTTTTTAAATAATCATGTAGGTACTTTTTTGCATAATCATACCGGGTAGAAAAATCTTAGTAGGATTTACTTACACTTTGACTAAAGCCTGGTCCGTGAGCACGTAGAATTTTGTTTTGGACCAGGCTTTAGTATGTGAAAAACATGTTTCATGGCGATTTCAACCTTTAGTTCAACTAGATGGAGCTGTATGTAGCCCTTCAAAAGTTCAAATACCCGCGAATCGAAACATCAATTGTAACCGCGGCCTCATGCGACCGCTTAAGGTTTGATGAGTTAAATATGGTGGCAACAGTTCATTCATCACCAGAAATACCCATTATTTTTCCTAGACAACCGCTCACCAACCTTATATTTCGTCCCCAGTCCGATCTCCGCTGGTCGAAACAAACTGACGTGGGCATCACCCACTTCAGATCCGGTATGTCGCACGACGAGGACCAGCTGATTCCCAACTTGTACCGCTACATCCAGCCGTGGGAGGCCGAGTTTGTGGACTCGCAGCGAGTGTGGGCCGAATACGCCCTGAAGCGGCAGGAGGCTAACGCTCAGAACAGGTTCGTACAAGTTATAATCGTGTGTAGGATCTTTTAACAACACATGTATTTGTTCGTCTACAGACCCTTTTTAGAGCACTGTTCATGACCTAAATATGAATTGCCACCACTTTTGGATAACAAGTCGACTAGCGATGAGAAGTAAATCGAGAAACTCAGTCATTTCAGCTATTTGTTAGTCTTTTGCTTTTTACAGAAACACTTTAAATAGTTTTCCTTGTTGTACACTACCTTCACTATAGCTAAGAATCATAAACTTTAATGTCTTGCTATATGCAATTAACGTAATACATTTGGAACACAAAACACGTTTATAAAATATCTGATATTTTATTGTGAAAACTTACGTGGACATAAGTTGCTGTCACAAAAGTTTCGACTCATAGATAGCCCAAAATGATGGTTAATTTATTTATAGTTGTGTATGAAACAGTCATATTCAACGCCTGCATTAGTATCTCAATATTCAGAAACAGAAGTGATGAACCGCGTAGGGGTCCTGAAACCAGAGAGTCCCTGTGCTCTGGGGACGGGCGGCGGCTGCGCGCGCGCTGATCGTGACGTCACGCGGCGCCGTCCGCCTGAGACTACGCTATCTGATCTATAACTTACACCTACAAGTAATTCTTCCAAAAATTTACAACCAAACATTAACATAGGATTTGTATTATTGTTTTTCTCTAGGCGTTTGACACTGGAGGATTTGGAAGACTCGTGGGACAGAGGCATTCCCAGGATCAACACGCTGTTCCAGAAGGACAGGCATACGCTCGCCTACGACAAGGGATGGCGTATCCGTACGGAGTTCAAGCAGTATCAGGTTAGTGTAATACATAATGATTTTAACGGTTCTCAACCCTCATTACTATACTACGTGTCTTATTTGTAAAAATAAAATAGTCAAGGCAGATTCAAATTTAAATATTCTTGGAGATTTGAACTCAAACCAGAAGACAATACTTTCTGACAGGTTACATAAAATACAAAGTTTTAAGGCTGAGTTGCACCACCCAAATTTGACCATAACTATGACGATAACCGGTGTTTTTGTATGGAGTTTGGCAGATATTTGACGTTTACCTCAGTTAAAGTAAGATGGTGCAACCCAGCCTTAGTGTTACAACATAGTAGCCGACGCGTATTTACTGGTTCTACCGTTATCTACCACGTGTTGCGTTTTACTGAAACCACATTTATATTTTGCGTTTTATTTAAACCTTATTCCTATTCGCTGGGTGCGAAGTACTAGGTGGGGGAGACATAATCTATCGCAGCGCTCATGGTGGTCAAAAGTAGAAATAATGTTAGCTCTGTCATCAGATGTATCTGTCAATGGCAAAGCGATTCTACATAATACATTTTAATATCATTAATTAATCGCATGAAAAGGGTCCTACTGGGAACTTAAATAAAAGAGTGGACTGTATTTCGATAGGGCTGTTTTAATAGCCGTTTACAATTTGGAAATAACTAAACTATACAACGTGGTAGTACAAAAATGAGTGACAGTAGTTGTTGTGCACAGATGTTTGCCTTATGATGAGAGCGTGAATTATTGAACTCTGCCCTTGTTTTGTTCTTAATTCTTCTACATCTCGGACTTGTCCAGCCAATACCAACAACTTTCCTTTAAATACGGTTTGTGGTTGGAATTTGATATTGTAACTCTCACAAACCCGGTCTTCAAAACGATACTCATTTCGATCTGAAAACGATATTTAATTTATTACTAGCGATACAGAAACATTTAAATATATTTACTGTTATATAATGAAACCGTTAAAGTAGCTTTTTCTTTTTGTTTTATTGTAAAACTACAACTATAAATGAAGTAAACAAACCCTGACACAATCAAAATTAAACACACTTTTTGGACTTACCTCATTTGATTTGAATGACCAAAATGATTTCAAAACCTTTTTTCCACCCAAATCGTGGTATCACAATAATTTATTAGTTGAAAATATTTGTTATTTTTTCATTTCGATATTTTTTCACAAATATACGACCTAAATGTCAATGTGACAGAGCCCACAAAGTTGTGGACGCTAGTTGGCGCTGTAATCGTGCACGGAGCCAATACGATTTCCAGTTATATATTATATTCACATACTGACTTATATGAATATTTAGCTTTAAGACTTCTGAAGTTCTATCTCTGTCTATAACACTCTCTTCCTTTCTCCAGGTCCTAAAACAGAATCCGTTCTGGTGGACGCACCAGCGCCACGACGGCAAGCTGTGGAACCTGAACAACTACAGGACCGACATGATTCAAGCGCTAGGAGGCGTTGAAGGCATCCTCGAACACACGCTCTTCAAAGGCACATACTTCCCTACGTGGGAGGGTCTCTTCTGGTGAGTATAGTAATAAGTTATGTGATTGAGTTTTCTCAGGAATTTATCAAATTATTTAATTGTCAGTTGTGTACCATATGCCCGCCCATACATTATCCATTTTCCATCATTCGTTCTACATGAACCGTTACTCTTTAGTAAAAGATGGAAAGCAACGCCGACACGAAGTAATGCAACTTCAACGAGTATTTAGAACTGATTCACGTAGCTGGCTGTAGTCAACGTTAGGTAAATGTTTGTGACACCCAATGTGGTCAATAAGTTGATAAAACAACCTTATTCCAATTGCAACCAAGACGTGTTGCGCACGTATTGGCTACTTTGGATGTCACTATTATAAGACTAGGCGCAGACCACCGATTTTTGTTGGCCGACAGTTGGGTCGGGCTGTTAATCAGCATGGAGATGTAAGAACGTGCGTACATTACGCCGATTTGGTATCGACCGATTCTTCATACAAATTAGAATCGGGCCCAACTATCGGCCAACTAAAAGTCGGTGGTCTGCGCCTAGGCTAACTGTTTGACGCTAACTAACAAAGGACTGAAAATCATACAACAAATGAGACATTTTGCGACATGCGAAGGGATTATTACTCTTCAGACATTTCATAATTTAAAACTTCTATCAATCACAGGGAAAAGGCCTCCGGCTTCGAAGAGTCGATGAAGTACAAAAAGCTCACAAACGCTCAGCGATCCGGTTTGAACCAGATCCCGAACCGTCGGTTCACGCTGTGGTGGTCGCCCACCATCAACCGTGCCAATGTGTACGTCGGTTTCCAGGTAAGTTTGTATCTATAGAATTTAAAATATTTTTACAGAAGTTAAGTGCGATGGTGCGATTGCAGTCAAAGTCAAAACCTGCCTACGTAATTTTGTGGTAAAATGTATACTTTACACAATAATTTTACTGTATAGTTTCCAATCGTAAGGCTAAGAACTCATGGCGCGATTTTCACCCGCGCCCGCGGCGGTTGCTGGCCCGCAGCTTCTGTAGAATGCAGATACTTATGTAAAAACTAATGCACAACTCACGACGCGGTTTTCGCCCGCAGCGGGCGCGGTTGTATGCGGGTCTCGCTCGGCGCTTTTCGCCCACGCGAAAACCGCCCGATCGGCGGGCGACCATTTTGTCCAGTGACTTAGCGCGCGGCGCGATTTAAAATAAAGCTTGGTCCGTGAGCACGTAGAATCCCGTATCGCTCGCGCGTAATTATATTGCTGTCGCAACTGAGCGACGGGCGCCCGCAGTGAATGTGCGTGCGCGACAGCAACATAATTACGCGCGAGCGATAAGGATGGGTAGTTTGGGGTCATTGGACAAAATTCTACGTGCTCGGCGACCAGACTATAGAATTTAAAATATTGTTTATTATGTTGTTGTTTTTATTTAGTACTAGCTTTCCGCCCGCGGCTTCGCCCGCGTGGAATTTTGTCTGTCACAGAAAAACTTTATCGCGCGCGTCCCTGTTTCAAAAACCGGGATAAAAACTATCCTATGTTCTTTCCCGGGACTCAAACTATCTCTATGCCAAATTTCATCAAAATCGGTTGCGAGGTTTAAGCGGGAAAGCGTAACAGACAGACAGACAGACAGAGTTACTTTCGCATTTATAATATTAGTTGGGATACCTATTGATCGTAAATCAACATCAGGTGCAATGGTGCGATTGCAGTCAAATACCTGCCTTGTTCTGCATAAAAAAATCGAATATGACGTAATTTTTTGGTGGTGTATATTTTACATTAATTTTACTGTATAGTTTCCAATCGTAACTATTCGAAAATAGAAGTGATGAACCGCGTAGGGGTCCTGAAACCAGAGAGTCCCTGTGTTCTGGAGGCGGGCGACGGCTGCGCGCGCGCTGATCGTGACGTCACGCGGCGCCGTTCGTCTGAGACTACGCTATCTGATCAATAACTTACACCTCAAAAGTAATTCTTCAATACTTTTGTGTCTTAGTTTTTATGAACAATAGTATATTGAAGGTATCATTTGTCTACAAATGACGACTCATCAAGCTGAATATTGGCATCTTTAGATCATCATCATGATGCAAAATAGCGTCATTCTATTACAGCTGATATTGTGTAACGTAATTTTCTTGTGCACAGGTACAACTGGACTTGACAGGAATCTTCATGCATGGCAAGATCCCCACGCTAAAGATCTCGCTGATCCAGATATTCAGAGCCCACTTGTGGCAGAAGGTGCACGAGTCTATTGTCATGGACTTATGTCAGGTAAGGTTACATACATTGTTTTAGTTTTACATGTATGTAAATCTCTGGTATGGACGATGGGGCGAACGCAGGGTGAAGTGCGGGTGAGTGCTAGAGAAATTCGCATTCCAGCAAGGCGCAGTTGGCTCGATCGGGTAAACTCCGACAAACGTTACTTCGACATTACGTTACTCCGACACTACTGAATATCGACATGAATTTACTACGACACTACTCAGACAAAGAATATTCGCCTTTGTCTAAGTAGTGTAGTGTCGATCGATCGGGTTGTACTTTTGATTTACTATAAAATTTCACGTTTCAGTTGGTTGGGTTATTTTTTTGGTTAATCTATTTACTTTACTTTGCATGTGCATAGATGAAGCTGACTAAAACAGAGAATACATGTTTTCTGTTTTAGTCTGCCAGATTTTAGTAACAGAGACTAAGAAATCTAGTAAATAAAATGTCATGAAATAAACTTTGCCTTCTGATCTTATTTTTAGTCCTTGAATAAACACGTTTCCTAATATCCTCTATTTCCCACGCTAGGTGTTCGATCAAGAGCTCGACGCCTTAGAAATCGAGACAGTGCAAAAAGAAACCATTCACCCCAGGAAGTCGTACAAGATGAACTCGTCCTGCGCTGATATACTGCTGTTCTCTGCTTATAAGTGGAACGTGTCCAGGCCATCGCTGCTCGCTGACACCAAGTAAGTTTTGAAGATGATGAGAATGCTCCTTCTTGTTAAACGTCGGAACTCATGGGTAAAATCGCATAATGTATGTAGAAGATGTAAGTAAGGCTGGTTTTAGAGTCAAGCTGACGCACGCTGACTGTCAGCGCTGACAGCCGAAACGTATGAAGCGTCGGCGCCGAGCGATCAGCGTCACTCAGGAACGTTCCCTTCAATTACATACATTTTGATTTGTCAGCGCCGACGATCAGCGAGCAGTCAGCGCGATTCTAAAACCAGCCTTAGAGTGGTTTTTTATGTATGTAGTTTGATTCTTGACTGTTCATTCCGATTCTATTCGTTGCTTTAAGGCAAGCCTTTTAGGTTTCTTTTTCTCTCTTATCGAGCTATATGACTGGTGTCCTAAGACCACATTAGAATATTTAGTGGATGGAACCTACTGAAATCCATGATTAAATAGCTTAATATTTAAAAATCAAAGTAGGCCAAAATTGGGCATTATTTCACTGAACAGATGTTGTCAAATTCTGCAAGCATGACGTCATTTTTCTTTTTTTAAACCTATTTTATAAACAAGCCGTTGAAATGATAATCTAATAGACGCCCTATTTCCAGAGACACGATGGACAACACAACGACTCAGAAGTACTGGCTCGACATCCAACTGCGTTGGGGTGACTACGACTCGCACGATGTGGAAAGATACGCGCGAGCCAAGTTTCTGGATTACACCACGGATAACATGTCCATATACCCGTCGCCCACGGGACTGCTTATTGCCATCGACTTGGCCTACAATTTGCACAGGTACGTGTGAAAATAGACTGTACACGGTTGACAAATATTACATAAAATATTATAATAACGTTATACAGGGTGTCCTTTCTAGTATGGATCCAAAAGGATTGATTCCTCTGCTCAAATGCAACAACTTTCCTACAGAAACAGACGAGATTTGTTTACGCTCAAGCCTATTATCAGATTAAATAAGATGTTATTTAATGCTCAAGACTACATTTTTAACTCAAGCAATGATCTGAACATTCAAATGTGCGGCTTTTCATCCATGCTGGAGTTTGAATCTATTTGAGTATCAGATTCTCCATTGCTGAACGTAGATGTTTAATGGCACCCTTTAATGGCGCCCGTCGCACAGTCGCGACAGTAACATAATTACGTGCGAGCGATAGGGATGGGTAGCTTGGGGTCATTGGACGGGATTCTACGTGCTCACGGACCAGGCTTTAGATGCACTGACTTCCAATGGTTCCATCTAATGAGCCAATCTCCTTATCATTAAACCTATGTGCAGCAGTGTACTATAACCCTTTTACCGTTCTTCTTCTTGTCGTGTTGACAACAAACCTACACAGCGTTGGCCCAAAATTCCTTGTCAGTTGTTGTCAGTATAGCCTTCATTAAATCTTCCTGCGTGCAGTTGTTTGGGCACGCAGGGCACATACCTTTAAAACTAACATACTTCTATCCACAGCGCATACGGCAACTGGTTCCCCGGCTGCAAGCCTTTGATCCAGCAGGCCATGGCCAAGATCATGAAGGCCAACCCGGCGTTATACGTGCTTCGAGAGAGAATACGCAAGGCGCTGCAGCTGTACTCGTCGGAACCCACGGAGCCCTATCTTTCCAGCCAGAACTATGGGGAACTGTTCTCCAACCAGATCATCTGGTGAGTTTTATTTTATTTTATTTTATTTTGAGAGTTTCAAGACTGTTTTGATTTTTTATATCCATAATTAGGAAGCTCTTGGCCTGTATCTCACCTGATGCAAAGTGACGATCAGGTCGAAGTTGGAAGTGAGCTTCACCTGGAATCTTCAACTACAGAGGAACTGGCTATCTAACCTCTTAACTGCTGGAACGCGACAATGTTACGGTGACGGAATTAAGTAAGATGGTGGTAGCTAGCCAGGTGGACTTCAAGCTGGTAGAGCTTGAACCAACCAAACTGAACAGAAAAATGTGTTCTTGCGCTTCATTCGTTTTAGTTTTTCGTCAAAAGCAAACTTTGCATATTTACTATCCATTATACAACACTGAAACAGCACAGAAGCCACGATAGCTGAACGGTGAAGGGGTCGGACTGGCCGACTCGTGATCCGGGGAACGCGGGTTCGGTCCCCGCTGCCACTCAACTATTGTGGTGAACTCACTCGTGACACAAGCATATTTAGCTTAGTACGAGGGGCTAACGGGACTAGTAGTTAGTGCAAATTACTAATAATCTTTTGTTAAAACGGAAACTAAACTTTGTCACCCCAAAGGTTCGTCGACGACACAAACGTGTACCGCGTGACTATCCACAAGACGTTCGAAGGCAATCTAACCACGAAGCCCATCAACGGCGCCATCTTCATCTTCAACCCGCGCACCGGACAGCTGTTCCTCAAGATCATCCACACCAGCGTCTGGGCCGGACAGAAGCGTCTCGGACAGGTAAAATATATTTATTTATTTGATCACCAACAAGGTTACATTCACAAAAGTAACTATAAAAAATGACACTTGTTAAATGCAAACTTAATTAAAGGTGAAAACATAATTTGAAGTTATGAAAACAGTGGACGTCTTATGGCTGAAATTATGATGATGAGACTTTTAAATTGTTGATAATGGCTTGATTAATAAAGCGGGATATTGTGTTCTTTGATACGCATTTGGGAATCTCGCCTGGATCTAGTGGACTGCTTAAATAATCATTATGATGTTGAAACGTTACTACATACTGGGAATTCGAGGAAATACTCTACAGCAAATTCTCTATTTATTAGAAAAAATGTTACTAATATTTTGCCACTGAAGCATTCATTGTTTCGTAACAGCTCGCCAAATGGAAGACGGCCGAAGAAGTGGCCGCGCTGATTCGGTCGCTGCCCGTAGAAGAGCAGCCTAAGCAGATCATCGTCACCAGGAAGGGAATGTTGGACCCGCTTGAGGTTTGTGTTTTTTTTACAATGTCAGTTTCTTCTAATATCAAATATCGCTCTCATGACTGTAATATAAATATTGGTATATTTATCTCGATAAAAACTTAATTGATAGGCTTAATTTTTGATACAAAAAACTTAACACGTTGACTGCCAAAGTAAATTTACTAATTCGCCAAAATTGAATTTTTTGCTAATCGATGTGTAATGGCTTGAAATGAATAGTTATTGTTAAAAAAATTTTTTTTACTATTTATATTGACATATTAATAAATATCCTTGGACATTTTACACTGCGCCTCTAGTCCCAAACTAAGCAAAGCTTGTACTATGGGTACTAGACGACGGATATAAACATACTTAAATACTTTTTTTTTTTTTTTTGTAAATACATACATATTATACATAGAAAACACCCAGTCCAATACAAACAAATATGTTCATGCACACAAATGTTTGTACTGTGCGGGAATCGAACCCGCAACCTCCGGAATAGTAGTCCGTTTCGAACCACTACACCAAACGGCCGATATTATACCCATAAAAAAAACTGTCAGCCACCCGTGCCTGACGCGGCCCGAATGGTATAAATTTCAGTCACAGCGCCATGTCAAGCATTTTGTCAGGCACAACAAAATCACGTTTCTGCGTTTTGGCGGGAACTACCGTGTCGCATCGCTTTCCTTGCTTTAGACCTAGTGAATACTATCGCTCTGTCCGGCTGCTGTCGGTCAACTGTCAAATTTCGGTCGTGTAAAGTCGAGAAAGACAGCAAGTTATAACTTACTCTCTTCAAAGCCCTAATCAGCCTAATTTTTGTCTGTAATGTTTAAAATTTTTACACAAATAATAATTTTAATAATTATGCTTAATAATTTATTCCGAAATATATCGTAAACTTGTGATTTTATTAAGAATTTCAAATATTTGTCGTGTTTTTACTAAAATTTTCATTCAAACCTGTGTTAATTTTTATTTAGGTACAAGAGTTGCAGGCCATGCTGAACATACTTTGTTGGGGGCCACGTCAGTCATTTAAAATAGGAAGTAACGCATTAAACGTGCCAGGCGGCCTACTGCGGTCGTTTGATTTAGATGCTTCAGTGTCAGGCTCCAGTGACTGACATGGCCCGAATAGGTTGCATGTTTGTCAGTCACCGGTGACTGTCATGGCAGCCTACGTGTTAAGGGATATTGTTTGCAAAATGTGGTATTTCGCAATCTCGACTGACTGAAAAACATGTTCTTAATAAATTCACTGTAAGTCTTAGGCCCAGAACACACGGTGAAACGCAATTGCAACAAAACCAGTTTGAAACCGGTTTGAAATGGTCGCGTCATGTGTGGTCTCTCAACGGAATCTACGGCAGACACTTGCAACTCAAAAGTAACTAGAAGTTGCAGTTTCGTTGCAATTCATTGCGTTTCACCGTGTGTTCCGGGGCTTAGAAAAAAAATGGGGTTTCCCCTCTTCTCTGAAAATACCCAAGTATTATTTTTGTAAATAAATAAATATAGATCTGTGAGTTTTTTTTCTATGGGATTTGCATTTCAATCTGAATATTTTTAGTTTCAAGACGTCTTCCATGTCAGCTAAAGCCCGGTCTGTGAGCACGTAGAATTTTATCCAATGACCCCACGCTACCCATCCTTATCGCTCGCGCGTAATTATATTGCTGTCGCGACTGTGCGACGGGCGCCCGCAGTCAGTCGCAGACCAGACTAGTTATACATTTTAAATTTTACCACAGGTCCACTTGCTCGACTTCCCGAACATCGTGATCAAGGGCTCTGAGCTACAGCTGCCGTTCCAGGCCTGCCTGAAGGTGGAGAAGTTCGGCGACCTCATCCTCAAGGCGACCGAGCCTCAGATGGTGCTGTTCAACCTCTACGACGACTGGCTGAAGACCATCTCTTCGTACACGGTTAGTATATGTTGCACTTGAGAGAAGTCCTAGAATGTGTCTAAGATTCTTTTACAGTTTATTTGATGATCCATCTGACCGATTTCGGCCATGGCGACCATTCCTAGCTGTCTTGGCGGCGCTGGTGTGCCCGAAGATGGCTTACGTAGCCTATTTTCGCGGTAAAATTCCTCGCGCATTGACGGCATCTGAGCACGCCGCCAACATAGTTATAGTGAATGGCGGCAGATGGACGGGCCTTCTTAGTGAGCATCTACGTTCTAAAAGGAACCCACTTGCAAAATTTGAGACTCCTTGTAGTGTTCTCCACTTGTAGTTTTTGAGATTTCGTGACGAGTAAGTGAGTTACTCAGTGACCTTTCGCTTTTATTTATAAACTAGATTTCCGCCCGCGGCTTCGCCCGCGTGGAATTTTGTCTGTCACAGAAAAACTTTATCGCGCGCGTCCCTGTTTCAAAAACCGGGATAAAAACTATCCTATGTTCTTTCCCGGGACTCAAACTATCTCTATGCCAAATTTCATCAAAATCGGTTGCGAGGTTTAAGCGGGAAAGCGTAACAGACAGACAGACAGACAGACAGAGTTACTTTCGCATTTATAATATTAGTTGGGATAGATATGCTACGATAAAAAGATCGAAATGGCTAATTGAGTAAAAAAAAAACAGCTCACAACGCGTTGTGGTCTTTGTAGAACGTCGACATAGTGCAAATGCGTGTCATTGTATTTTAAAAACGCTTCTGACGCTATATGACAACAAAGAAAAGCCATGACGTGTTTTGAGCACTAAAAAATGGTGTGTAATCATATCACGACAGATAATGTGATTTGTCGGCAGGGTTGCCAAAGAGAAGGTCGTCTGTTCCTTTTAGTTCGCTAACGTCCCTTCCAAATTCCAAAATATTTATTTCTAGAATTGTTTTCTTATTAATACTTTGTAATCTCGTGAATTCATGATATTGTTATGAAGTGATGAACCGCGTAGGGGTCCTGAAACCAGAGAGTCCCTGTGCTCTGGGGGCGGGCGGCGGCTGCGCGCGCGCTGATCGTGACGTCACGCGGCGTCGTCCGTCTGAGACTACGCTATCTGATCTGACAATATCACAAATGTATCACTAATCAAGTAGGCTTACGGTGATTATACAAAATACTAGATATAATTGTCTCAATTACAATTTTTTCTAGTCCGTAAATAGACATTTTAAATCAGTTATCAGTCAGACTATCTTCACTAGGATCGTTTCATCCACGAAGACGTGTCCCACCTTTCTTACGCTAACGTTTGATTGTTATTGGTACACGTTAAATTATCCATGAGTGACGCACACTACAATAATGACGCTCGGATTGCTCGGATCAAACTCCCCGCACCCCGCGCTTCCCTCGGCCAATTTTTTTGACCAAAATTGGTGGGGCCCGTCTTCGTAGATGAAACGTCACAGTCACAATCGTTGTATGTTATCCCATGTAAGAATATTACTTGACAACTCCCAATCAACAAGCCAAAAAATAAGACCACGCCATTTAATTTTCGAGTTCATATAAGATGCAGTTGAGGTTAAATGACCTATAGCCTTATTCACGTAACAAAACTTCAACGACAACAAATCGCTGAGTTGCGATCCTATCGAGTGATCGTTCTATCGAAATGACCCTTGTGAATACGGATTTAGAACTGTTTTTCAATGGGACGACTTCTGAACGTCAGCGAGATCTTGACTATCAAAACACGTGAATTAGGCCACTGGTCATGATGATGATGACGATCGAATAATCTGTTCAACAGGCCTTCAGTCGTCTGATTCTCATCCTTCGCGCTCTACACGTGAATACGGAACGCACCAAGGTTCTGCTGAAGCCGGACAAGACGACTCTGACGGAGCCGCACCACATCTGGCCCACTCTGTCCGACGACGACTGGATCAAGGTGGAAGTCCAGCTCAAGGACTTGATATTGGCTGATTATGGCAAGAAGAACAAGTAAGTTTCCGTACCTATATCATTACTATCTAGGGCTTAACAGAGTCCCGAGGGAGCGGCACTAGAGTGTTTTTGAGACGGGTCTGACGCTGAATGTGCATTTCGCAAAATGAGCACTTCAAAATATGCACTTTTCTATACAAATGTAAAGGCTGAAGAGTCAAACGTCAGCGACACTTCAGATATGCATCAAATTTCTATGCTCTGTCACATTATAGTATGTATGTCAATGTTAAACCTCCCGTGACGCTTCCACACCTCGGGCACTAATTCAGATGCGATAGGCCTATAATTTAAGCTTATTGCCTGTCAATCTGTAGATGGAAGCAACACTTAGGCCCGGTTTTTTGATTCGTAGTTAAAATAACCAATGGTCAAATTTGACAGATGTCAAATGACAAGTGGTTAAATATCAGAAATAAATGTTTTTCGAACAATGGTTAGCGTGACTTTTAGTACATTTTTTAACTATTAGTTTACATGTTGTTAATATTTAACCATTAGTAGCAAAATTTAACAATTAGTTATTTTAACTAAGAATCAAAAAACTGGGCCTTAAGCCATGATAAGAATTGTCTGGTTAAAATGATTGTTGAAAGAAAAGCACGAAAAAATCTCGACATCAAATCGTATTTGAATCACAGCTTTCTTCTCATTTAAGATCGATGTTCTCATTGTTCACCATTTTATTGGGAAGGTTTTTAAAAACCAGTTCGCCATGTTATTAACAGTGAAGCTACAGGTCCAGGCTCAATTGAAACTTACCCAAAATCATTTCTAAACTACAAACCAATTCCACAGCGTCAACGTGGCCTCGCTCACCCAATCCGAGATCCGCGACATCATCCTGGGAATGGAGATCTCCGCGCCATCGGCCCAGCGGCAGCAGATCGCCGAGATTGAGAAGCAGAGCAAGGAACAGAGCCAGCTAACGGCCACCACCACGCGCACGGTCAACAAGCACGGCGACGAGATCATCACGTCCACCACCAGCAACTACGAGTCGCAGACCTTCAGGTGAGTGAGATGTTGATTTAGCCTAAAGCCCGGTCTGTGAGCACGTAGAATTTTGTCCAATGACCCCAAGCTACCCATCCTTATCGGTCGCGCGTAATTATGTTGTTGTCGCGCTCGCACACTCACTGCGGGCGCCCGTCGCACAGTCGCGACAGCAATATAATTACGCGCGAGGGATAAGGATGGGTAGCTTGGGGTCATTGGACAAAATTCTACGTACTCGCAGACCAGACTATAGAAGATGCAGACCACCGACTTTTAGTTGGCCGAAACTTGGGGTGCTGATCGCACAATACATCGATTTGGTATTGGCCGATTTTTCATACAAATTGGAAATCGATCCAACTATCGGCCGACTAAAAGTCTGCAGTCGGCGGGGTATCTTAGAAGCACTGGCAGTATAGTTGCTAAAGACTTTAGCGGATTTTTTGATTCCTAACGTTTTTCGACCCTATTTATTATTGTGTTGAGTGGCTGTTCTGTTTCAAAGGGATATAAACTGCGTGTTACTTTTAGTATGTTACACATCCCTTCATTTGAAAAAATTACCATCTCAGGGGAATCGCGTTTTGATAGCTCGTAAAAAGTATTTCAATTCGCAGCGTTTTGTTTCGTAATTTTGTAATATAATTTCTGTCGACAGTTCGAAGACGGAATGGCGCGTGCGTGCGATCTCGGCGACCAACCTGCATTTGCGCACCAACCACATCTACGTGAGCTCGGACGACATCAAGGAGAGCGGCTACACGTACATCCTGCCCAAGAACCTGCTCAAGAAGTTCGTCACCATTTCAGACTTGAGAGCGCAGGTAATATAATTTATTAGTTTTTTTTTCATGATGTTTGTAGTTCATGATGGACATTGGATGAAACTTTGATCATCTGGCTTTGATCACCCAGGTGATCCAAGTGACAATTACCCAGGTCATCTTATCCGTGCCGTGGGTCAAAGGTCACCAAATTGTCGCTTGGATCAAAGTGGAATAGACCAAATTACTATCTAATTAACCAAGAACTGATTTAAATACTAGGGGGCGTAGTGTGAGTCGATATCGACTGATCGAAGAAATTGCAACAAAATAGTGAGATTGTATGTGTAAACAAACAATATCATCCATTAAAGGCTCCAGACATCAATATGGAGCAGAATCAGCGCATTAAAAAAATAGCGCAATATTTTGTTGCAATTTCTTACAAAACTTGCGCACAAAAAGCAAATCTAGTATGAAAATCATCAAACTTCTAATGCTCGTAACTCAGTTCAGACTGAGTTTAGAGGTATACATGCCATAGTAAGTTTGGTTTATTATACTATTTTGTAATCAAAAAACAAAGTTTAGTCGATGGCCGCGCGAAAAAAAAAAGACGCCACTTTCCATACAAAATCTGGCATTGCCATTTCTCTGATCCATGTCCCTTCTCTTAGTCAACTCTCCCCCTTCTGGGGCTTGACACCACAAATACGGTACTTCGCGTCAGGCTGCTATCGTTGATAAATGTCATCACTTCCACTCAAAACTTCGCCTGATTGTGTGCCAGGAGTGCTCCCTCCTGATCAGTTTTCCAATCGCCAGAGCTACTACACTCGGCATCAAATAAATCGCACCTCCCGCAACAAGCACTTCTCAAACGTATGCATTCCCACTACCCACCAACATTGGTAGCATTTGAAAGCCTAGTTCTAAACTTCATTTCATTAAAGGAAAGGTTTTTATCCCAAAAATGTGTTTTTAGAAGGATCCAGAGTCACTTCTTCAAAAAATAGGTAGTTACGCTTGAGCTAATTTTTATGGCTATAAAACTGTTAAGTTGGGATTAATCGCTATCCATCTGTTAAAGAGGACACGTGTGATCATTATTTGGTTTTATAACCATAAAATTTGGTCTGATTGATCCCAGAGGTGAGCCCATAGTGAGGTATTTTTTCAAGTGACATTTATGGTATATGTGAATCATTTATTAAGATGTTAAATGTGTTTTTCTTTAAGGATATTTATTGGGCTTTCAAATAACACCAATATTGTTGGGGCACCATGATTGTGTCAGAAGAAAATCTTTAAAGTTCGCGTCGCGGAAGGTGCGGTTTATTTGATGTTGAGTGTGTGTGTTCGTTTCTAATCATGTATTGTATTTCCCAGATCGCGTGCTACCTCTACGGCACGTCGCCAGCCGACAACCCTATGGTGCGCGAGGTGCACTGCGCGGTGGTCCCGCCGCAGTGGGGCACGCACCAGCAGGTGCACCTGCCGCGCCAGCCGCCAAGACACCCGGCGCTTGGGCAGCTGCAGCCGCTAGGATGGATGCACACGCAGCCTAATGAGCTGCCGCAGCTGTCGCCACAGGTGAGGCTTATGTGCTTGTTATAGGAGTAGCCAGACGCCGCGGCACCCGGCGCTTGGGCAGCTGCAGCCGCTAGGATGGATGCACACGCAGCCTAATGAGCTGCCGCAGCTGTCTCCACAGGTGAGGCTTACTTATGTACGGGACTATTCCCACCGCTGCAACTCCTGTGTAGCCAGAATCTACAGCTTGACCGCCAATAAAAACCCAACCAGTGAAGGTCAAGTTGTCCCAGGGGAAAGTTAAACTGTCATTGAGCCTGCAACGAAATTAATCAGAAGATCATAGGAGGAGTTCGAATTTAAGGTTCGACTTCGAGGCTTGCTTATGACATCCTACATAGCTGTCATCGTCATCATCAGGTCATTATTTACTTTCCATTACATTCTAATTTACCAGAAGCAAATGGAAGGGAGGTCTGAAGTTCGCATATTTGTCCCTTATTCAGCAATTTATTTTCCAAAAATGTAATCTCAATATTTCACCCACGTTTATTATGCAGAATCAAAATAGCATACCACCAATCTAATTCTCACACTTTTTCTTCAGGACATAACAACGCACGCGAAAATAATGGCCGAAAATCCGTCCTGGGACGGCGAGAAGACGATCATCATAACGTGCTCGTTCACACCAGGGTCGTGTTCGCTCACCGCCTACAAGCTCACCCCTAGCGGGTACGAGTGGGGCGCAAGGAACACCGACCGAGGGAACAACCCTAAGGGATACCTCCCGAGCCATTATGAAAGAGTGCAGATGTTGCTGTCTGATCGCTTCTTGGGATACTTCATGGTGCCTTCGCAGGGAAGCTGGAATTACAACTTTATGGGTATGGTGTTAACTTCATTATTTTGACTGGAACGGTTCTGAAGTCCCAAATTAGATTTTTGTTATGTTTTATTAACACTACTTATCGCAATATTATTGATATGATCTAAAATAACTCAAAATGACAATAGTAACAAGTAAAAAATAATAGTCTTGAAAATGACTGGCGGTAGTTGGATGAAAAAAACGGGAGAACAAGTGAAAATAGAGGATCATGTTTTGTGACACTCCTAGGAGGAGGCTTATGTTGAGCAGTGGACTTTCATAGCTAGAAATGGCACTCTTGTGAGTGGTCGTGGTTGCGCTGACGAGGTACACGGTGGGGTGTTCGATGTCATCTCCGAGGGTAGTTCTCCTGGCGATGTGCTTCCATTTCTGAAGTTTAGAAGCGTCGCGAGTACACTGGTCCATGGTGGACTCAGTAGCCTTTGTGATAGCGTCTATCCAGCGAGTTGGCCTGCTGATGATGATGAGGCCAGCTGACCTGGCCCTGAACTACCAGTCTCTCCATCGAGTTCTGATTATTATAATGACATACATTTTGTTTACAGGCGTCCGGCACGACCCGAACATGAAATACGGCGTTCAACTCGGCAACCCTCGGGAATTCTACCACGAGGTGCACCGGCCGGCTCACTTCATGAACTTCGCAGCGATGGAAGACGCTGCCGCGCCAACCCTCGCGGCAGACAGAGAAGACTTGTTCGCGTAGATTAAGCTTTTGTAGGGATCAATGTCGATCGCCTGTAAATAGCGTTAAGAGAAATACATTTTAATAAATTTGAAATTGACTTTTATTTCACGTGAAAGTATGGAACCTTTAATTTTAATTTCGTGCGATTTGCACGTTTAGGTTTAGGCAGTGTCAAGTAAAGATATTTTTCTCAAGAACAATTAGAGACCCGCGCACTAGCCAGCCAATCCGATCATTCTTGATTGGCTGCCTAGTGCACCAGTAGACTTTGAAACACAGCTTTGAAAGAACATTCAATTATTTGATGAATGATAGATGTCCAATTCCCAAGACTAGCAGTCACTACTATATTACCCAAGAGTTTGAAATAGGAGAGAAACCCAAGTTCGAAAAGAGCTACCAAGCTCAATGACTATTCTCTGTTCCTCTATAAAGTTTTAGAATAGTTATGTAATGTATGAGAAACAATATGTTTTAAATGCTTTATCTTATTTATAAATTTAAAAATAAAACTAATTTATTAAAATAATTCTTATTTATTCTTTACTATAATACTTCAGCAGTCACTTTATGTAGTAATATCAATGTGGAACTTTCATTCGGTATCAAAAAATTTGGTGGCCTCTCAAAATTTCGTTGGTCCTGCATTTTACTGAAATGTGATCTTTTCAAGATTTTTTTTTCTACTTCTTTGCTGTATATCCTTGATTATTTTAGTCAAGAGCGCAATCTTTTTGTCTCGTCTCCGTACCCTTTCTTGCAAAATTTTTACACGCTTTTTCAGGAAATTACACCTTTTGTGATATTTTATTTCTTTATTTTCTAGTTGAATCTGGAAAAGTAACAAAACAGAGTTTTTAAACTGTTGGAAATAAAAAAATATTAGTTATCATTGAAAGTATCTAGCTAGAGAAAGGATAATAAACATTGACATTTTAAAATTGTATGCAAAATAAAAGACCTCACCTTTTCTGCAGATGTAGGATTTTCTTGGGAGCATGGAGTTGCTGGTGTGTTGCTTTTCTCTTTGATTATCAATATTTTAGTGATCTAAAAATGTTTATCCATTTTAATAAATACTTTCATCACAACAACGTGGATAATCTTAATGGATACATTCTTAGTTAATAACAAGGTTTATGGCGCCTTTAAATTTGCACTGCGCGGCAGTTGCGCTGCTGCTGCGGGTTATTATTTATATCTGTCAACATGAACTTGAGTTTATAGCACTATTGTAAAATTATAAAATACAGTGAATTGGGTTAGATTGTAATCCAACTACGATATATCGATAAACAAACTAGCACAACTACTGCGCTGCCATCTCTGGGGCCGTTCAAGTATTACGTAAGCAGATTTCTTACCATTTTTTACCCCCCCGCCCCCCTTGTCATCAAAAGTAAGCAAAGCACTTACCCCCTCCCCCTATGCTTACGTAAACATTTTGTTATAAATGTTTTTTATATTGTCATTTTTAAAATAGGCAAATTCATGAAAATATTAGGTTTAACTGATACACACTGATACTCTATGAGTAGGAACAAAAAAATATAATCAGAAAAAAAGAACATAACAAACATAATTGCATCAATTATGCATCATCATAAACACAAATGATAACTTTCAATGCTTACAATACGTTTAGTATCCAAACAAAACACGCGCGCGGGAGGCCGGCCTCGCGTATTATAATATTTTATGCGGACTACGACTCTCAAATTTCAATGGGCAATGTCGGAACGAGAGTTAATTATTAGACAAGTGAATAGCGCACGGTAATTCCCCTAATCAGTTCAATACTCAATACTCAATACTTTTATTGCATAACCACATTAGCATTCACATTTATAGGTCTTACAATTTAGGCAGTTATACAATGTGGACCCAGTTAGGGCACAGCAACTTTCAAAGCTAGTGCCTACGCATATGCACCCTTAATAAATGAATGGGCACAACTCCAAAATTCCGTTTTTTGGGAAAAGCCAAAAAACCAATCGGCGGATCGCGGTTTTTTACATAATTGGCTCTAAAATCTTTATTTTATCAGCTACGACTTTCAAATTAAGCATACTTCATCACTGGTATCTGTTATATAATTTGATATAAGACATTTTTGAAAATATCGATTATGAGTATTTAAAAAAATTGTTTAAAAAAAATTTCAAAGTTAGGCCTTTATTTTACTATTTCTGTTGTTGTGATTTTGGGTAATACTTGTACTTGTGCCCATCTAATCCTTAGGCTGTATTGTTTTATATGGCACTAGCTGACCCGGCGAACTTTGTTCCGCCTTAATGGCAATAAATAACGGGATAAAAAGTATCCTATGTCCTTCTCCTGGCTCTAAACTTCCTCCCTGACAATTTTCAGCTAAATCAGTTCAGCCGTTCTTGAGTTATAAGTGGAGTAACTAACACGACTTTCTTTTATATAATAGACTAGCGGCCGCCCGCGACTTCGTACGCGTGGACCTCGTTTTACTCCATTAGGGGTGGAGTTTCGTAAAATCCGCTCTTAGCATTTATAGCGCATACATTTTAAATTTCAACTCTCTTACTTTTTAAACACATAGGACTTTCATAATATAAACTTCCAACCCTCCTTTTATCTCCTTAGCCCCCGTGGTTGATTTCTAATGATACATTTTCAGTATATGTACCACCACCACCACCACCATTTCAGCCATAGGACGTCCACTGCTGAACATAGGCCTCCCCCAATGCTTTCCATGTTGATCGATTGGAAGCGGCCTGCGTCCAGCGCTTCCCTGCTACCTTTACGATGTCGGCGGTCCACCTTGTTGATGGAAGTCCCACGCTACGTTTTCCGGTACGCGGCCTCCATTCCAGAACCATTCTGTCCCATCGGCCATCAGTTCTGCGTACTATGTGCCCTGCCCATTGCCACTTCAGCTTGCTAATCCGTTGGGCTATGTCAGCGACTTTGGTTCGTTTACGGATCTCCTCATTTCTGATTCGATCTCGCAAAGAAACACCAAGTATAGCCCTCTCCATAGCACGCTGTGCAACTGAGCTTCTGTATACGGCCTATAGTGAGAGGCCACGTTTCCGAGCCGTAAGTTATCACTGGTAACACACATTGGTTATACACTCTAGTCTTCAGGCATTGAGGTATTTTGGACGAAAAGATGTTGCGTAGTTTCCCGAACGCTGCCCAGCCGAGTTGGATTCGACGATTGACCTCTTTCTCGAAATTGGACCTACCTGGATCGTTTGTCCCAGGTAGACAAACCTACTTGTCGACAATCTCGAGAATTGAGCTCCCAACTGAAACTGGGTAGGGCGCAACATGGACATTCGACATAAGCTTCGTTTTGTCCATGTTCGCCCTCACGCCTACCTGTTGGGAAAATCGATTAAGGTCTTCGAGCATTGTTCCAAGATCTTCCAACGATTCTGCCATGACCACAATATCGTCAGCAAACCGATGTGTACACAGTACCACAGTGTACCGAACAGTATATTATGTACACCTCCACAATATCTAGAGATCATAGTGAGCGTACATTTTAACTTTCAAGTCTCTTACTTTAAAAACCGAGGACTGCAATACAAACTTCCAACCCCCTTTTTAACTCCCATAAGGGTTGAATTTTGCAAAATTTCGTCTTAGTGACTACCTACGTTCTAAAAGGAGGTGTATTCCACTTTGATCACCTGGCTTTGATCAGCCAGTGAGACTTGTAGTTTCTGAGACTTCGTGATGAGTGAGTGAGTCACTTAGTCATTCAATTACCTTTCTTTCTACTAAAATTATACGTACCTATAGTAATTATCATTAAAATCAAATAAGTAAGTACCTACCAACCTAAGTAATTAAAATAAAGACCCTACCAAAAAACTAACAAATTACATACAGAAAATAAAAACGAAGTAATTCTTATCCTATTTAACTACAATCGCCCACGCGCCCATCCCATTTGTCCGCCGCTGAACCGTACCCTAATATTCATCTCGGTAGATGGCGGCACATAGTAAGAATTTGCAAGGAAGTTTGTAAAAAGTCACTAATTAACACTTTGACTTGCTCGTTTAAACACAGTGAATGATTCAAATAGGTACATACAGTGAATGGTTCAATTACATAAAATATCTTTATTTATTAAATTTTCAATATTATTTACGAACAGCGCTATTCATAGTACATGTAATATTTAGTTACTAATTTACTAATGATGTCGATAGATGGCGTTTGACAGCTTTGCCTTCATGAATATTTACGTACCTCAAAAATTTTTGTCAGGCGCAAGAAGATTTTAAGCAATGACGATAGATGGCGCTTTTCCACGTCTTATGAAAATCCCAAATATTTTACGGGACCCTATTGTTTTCCAAAATAAAATTTAGCCTATGTTACTCGTGAGTTATGTAGCTTTCGAATGGTGAAAGAATTTTTAAAATCGGTCCAGTAGTTTTTGAGCCTATCCATTACAACTAAACAAACAAACAAACAAACAAACAAACAAACAAACAAACAAAGTTTTCCTCTTTATAATATTAGTGTAGATTCCCTAATATTGCTCTCTTATATTTAAAAATAAGTGTATTATTCGATTTTTATATTGATTTACGCCCAATAACATTGGGGACAGTTAGTTATTGTGCGGTATAGTAGCTTAAAGCCAATTCAGTATAAGAGTAGGGTGCTGTATACTAGAAAATTATTAAATGTGTCGAATTAGATTAAAATAAAGACTGTTAGCTATTTCTCTGAGAAAACCGACATGAAAATACTAATTTTATGCATTCAAAATATTTTTACTTAGATAGATAGGGACTCTTACCCTATAAAAATATGCTTTTCATCAAATAAAGAAAAAACCTACAAAAACTTTTTCTGTAAGGTTTTCTGTTATTGATTTGTTCAGGATAATCGCTTATTAAAGTCCAACAGCCAGTACCTTGGTATCTTTTTTCCACTATCCTGCTGTCCTGGTCGAAGGAACCGTTCTCCTTGTTCCTTACTATAATCACCCACATTATGGGAATCAGTTCAAATGGCTATTGTAAAAAATACAATTTAATACTCAAATTGGCGTGTGTAATTTTTGAAGGAGCAACAACCAATTTTGAACACCAGAATATCCATTCTGGTGTTCTAACATTCCCCAAAAAATATTTTACTACTAAAACACCTTAGCCATGCTTCAGATTCAATTTGTGTTATATGGTTTACAAATACAGTCTTTTATAAGAGCACGGATTTGCAGTCCATCGAAGATATCTGCTTTCAATTTTTCCGTACTCATCATCATTTCGCTTTTGATAATTTTAGTGATTAGAAAGCTTAATACATATCTTTGGCCCTCCAAATTGAAGCCCTTTACGTCCTGCTTGCCTTGAGTATTGCAAAGAGTCTAGGTACACAAGGTTTACGACGATATTGGACACCCAATATTTATTATTTTGTACAATTTTTATCCTCCGTGATCTTTTTTCTTTGCTTTTGTGTACAATATTTGCCACATATTAATAAAAACTGTTAGTGGTGTTAATACAAGATTTCATTACGAACTCATATTTTTTAAAACAAAAAGCACTTTAGTACTTAAATTTAGACAAACTGAAATTTTCAAGGTCTAATAGCTGATCAGTAAAATTGTAGTAACTTAATACGTGAAAAGATAATTTTAAAATAAATTCGATGTATCCTCAGTCCTCAGAATCTGAGTGATTAATTAGCATCAATTTATGTGACCGTAATAAATTAATGAATGATATAATTAAAAATTATAACACTATCATATTAAAGTTATTCACCTTTTGGCTGACTAGTGCGTTTATTCATAGAATAAACAAAGAAAAAAGCCAACCCGCGCCCCGAGCGAACGTTAATAGCGTTAACACGTAGGTATGTCTCTTATTTTCAACCGACTTCAAAAAAAGGAGGAGGTTCTCAATTCGACCCGTATGTTTTTTTATTAATCATTAGTTTATTTGTCGGGAAGTATTTCATACCACCGCTTTATTTCTTAGCATCGCGATAAAACATTCTATAGGCTCCTAATCAACCAATAGGTATGAAAATTAATACCAAGAAGCAAATTACTTTTATAGGAGAGTTATAAATTTAACTACAAACACCCAACCATGGTACGCCTAACTAAAGTTAAAGTTTTATTTTATAATTTTCTATGATTTACGGGACTTTATCAATGTTATAAAAATAAAAATGTAACATTATTAGAAATATATGGAATTAATTAGTCTTAGATCACTAACACTTACTTAAAAGTTTGTCACACAAAGGCACAACTCCAAATTGGACCACAGTCGCGCGGGCCGGATTCGACAAATATCGGCATGTCTCTGATTCAGCCCTTCTAGCGGGAAGATAGACGAAAGTATGGAAGGGGCACAAAATGTAGAACTCTATTATCTGATCATTGTTTTCGATTTCTGTGAAAGCCATCTTGTAGAACTGACGAAAATGTGCCTATCTAGTACAAAAAGTAAAAAACCAAAAATTTTGAGTTGTGCCCATATATTATTAAGGGTGCGATGTATTATTTGCGGGAATCCCCGAAAAAACGTAAATAACTAACGATGACGTAATCATCATCTAGACCCCCCTACCCCCCCATGTCATCAAAATAAGCAAAACAGAGACCCCCCCACCCCCCCTTGGTGCTTACGTAATACTTGAACGGCCCCTCTCATCTCTTTACAGCTAATCTGAAGACTGTATGATTACATAAAGTTTGCTAAAAATATATGAAAAAAAAAGGTTCCTCACCTCAGAAGATGTCAATGGATCAACATGTTGTCCAATGTAGTTTGCTATTAATTGATTTGGAGTTTGTTGTGTTTTTAAATTGGTTCGATTAGGCTGAAAATGAAATATAAGTAATGCAATTAACACTGCCAGTCCAAAATCTGTCATACATTATACAGGGTGTCCCAAAAGCAATGGATAACCCTGTAACCATCGATAAGCCTCGCCATGGTCTCCCTAACGTCCAATTTTGACCCCAGTAAAAATATCACCGATTTCAAGATATTTAAGTTTTTGTGCATTTTTAGAAAATTGCCACCTGCGATTACTTTTTCTCATGCCATTTCTACAAATGAGGATACTTTTCAATCTAGTTTTTTTCCTTATCACAAGGCATAGTTAGGCTATCATAAGAAAAGATCAAAGTTCAACAAACTTCATGTGGAGGCTACGTACCGGAATGCGCATCGTAGGACGTCCACCTACAAAGTGGACCGACGATCTCATAAAGGTAAGCAGGAAGGTGCTGGATGCAGGCCCCTACCAAGCGGTCATTATGAAAATCATTGGGGTACAGGCCTATGTTCAGCAGTGGACGTCCTATGGCTGAAATGATGATGATGATGATAGAATGTTGCTTTATTAAAATTCCTACGCCAAAAATTATCCATTTGTATTTAATGCCACTATGCAGTCCTAGTTTAACTATTACGAGAAAAACTCATTTTTGCAGTTTTCATACTAGTTGCTATTCAAGTAGCCATAAGATAAAAATAATACAGAATACATAGGCTTGTGATACCTTTTTAGAATCTCAACTAACCAAGAAAGTTTTTAAGGTAATGGGCACGATGGTCTTCCTACATTTTTTTACACTATGGCTGAACAAAAGTGCAAGACAATGAATTAATTTTTCCTTCTCTTCTGCAATTTCTTAAAAATATATTTACTGGGGTAAAAAATGAACGTTAGGGAGATCATGGCGAGGCCTATCGATGGTTACAGGGTTATCCATTGTTTTTGGGACACCCTGTATAAAACCTATTAAACCTACTATGGGGCCGTCCATAAATTACGTCATCGATTTTTTCAGATTTTAGACCCCCCCCCCTACAATCATCCTAGCGTCATTTCTTAATGACCCCCCCCCCCCCTTCTCCCAAAATTGACGTCATTACCAGTTTGAAAAAATTAAAACACTTGTAGAATCACTTTTTATTTTTTTTAATAGATAGAGTGATTCTTAAGGAAGGTTTATATGTATAATACACGTAAGTACCACGGGCGAAGCCGGGGCGGGCAGCTAGTATTATATGTAATCAGTAGCGGCGGAAGGGGGGGGGGGAGACCAACCCCCCCCCCTAATTTAGAATGACGTAATATATGGACGGCCCCTATTCGTATATTACGTAATTTTCTATCACACTTGGTGTGTTGTTCGATAAATATTAATTTCTAGTTTCAATACAACTCTAGAATATAGCTAGGTATTGAATATTTTGCAAAAACAAGAGCACAATTGATTTATATCAGAAAAAAATGCTTACCAGAAGTGAAGAAGATGGCAATGCGTCATCATGTAATCTTGTTACATCAAGAGTTCTGTTGATGCATGATTCCTGGAAATGCATCGAACAAACTGCTGGTTTTCTATGCTTTGGGTTTATATTATTCGGACCAATAATCTCTAGCCATTTCTTTTTCATTACTTCATTATTAGGAAATCTGTTGATTTAAGATATTTATTAGAGTACACAACACAATATACTGCATAACAAACGTCTTCTCATTATTACTAAACTAGCTGACCCGGCGAACTTTGTTCCACCTTAATGGCAATAAATAAGCAGACTATTTTTTATTTCGAAAGGGATAAAAAGTATCCTATGTCCTTCTCCTGGCTCTAAACTACCTCCCTGACAATTTTCAGCTAAATCGGTTCAGCCGTTCTTGAGTTATAAGTGGAGTAACTAACACGACTTTCTTTTATATATATAGATAATAACCTTTTTCGAAAACCTATGGAGAGTTTAAGCAGGAAGGTTGATTATTTATTTCTTGCACCACACTGACTCACACATCAAGAGGGCATAATTCTGTACTCTTGCACACCATCTATTCCAGGAAAGCCTGGAGCGCAAAATAATAATAATAATAATGTTCCCATGACGTGTAGTTTTATTTAACACTAGCTTTCCGCCCGCGGCTTCGCGCGCGTGGACTACATTATCTACATATTTTACGGAACCCTATTGTTCTTTTCCAAAATAAAATTTTGCCTATTTTTACTCGTGGATAATGTAGCTTTCGAATGGTGAAAGAATTTTTAAAAACGGTCCAATAGTTTTTAAGCCTATTCATTACAACCCAACAAACAAACAAAGAGTGTAGAAAACCCTAGCCTCTAACCAAACGGTGCACATTGTTAATGTGTAAAAACAAATCAAATCATTTCCATGGATTTCTTTTAGAGGTGGAGCTCTAATAACTGAAACTTAGGGTTAAACTTATGGCATAATTATAATTGTATTGTTTGTTTGGTGGTGTTTCAGCAGAATAATAGTACGTACCGATGTAATGAAATACGGTTTTCACTTTTAATGCCGCAACCTAACACACTGCAATTAGGCATATTTTTTGATGCTCTGTGAAAGATCACACAGACAGATCTATTTATTACAATTTACAAGAAATCATTGAAGAAATCTCGAAAAATCATAATCAAACACAACAAACAAGATCGCGCGTTGACACTTGACATTTCATTTGACAAGTTTGACAACTCTCTAATCTATGGTATGAAATGAAAAATTGACACTGGCATATGGCACAAGTACACTATGTGAAAGTGTCCAAGTCGTTAGCCCGCACACCGAACTATTGGGCGAAACTAATGGCGTATTTTCATTAGTCGATTACTCTTTCAGTATACAGTGTGCGGGGACTCCCCACCGAACTCGCACTCGTACCGAACGAGTTATCGACCAATGAAAATGCGCCATAATAATTTGCGATAATGCGACACACGGATTATGTGATGGGAGGAGAAAGTAACCGAGATGGTGTTCACACTATTACCACAAATTACGTCTGTCCCGCTCCTGCAATAGTGTACTTGTGCCATCCATAGACTAGAGAGTAAAGTCAAAATCAAAATTCAAATTGTCAGAAAAAAATATTGTCAAACTGTGTGTCACCAGAAACAACAAATCGTCGTTTTGCGATTGTTTGTGAATTTCAAAAATTTCTTTATTTTATCGAATAAATAATGGCAGATAACGATGTGTTTGAAGATAATCAATATCCTGACAACGACGAGTTCGTACCATACGTAACAGCTGGTAATCTCGCACAGAAGAATGGCGCGAAAGTAACGCTTTGGGGCAAAGTAACCAAAGTTTCGGCGAGCGAAGGGTTCTACGTAAAGACTGTAGATGACCAAGAAGTTTTAATAAGGTTAAAAAAGCCTTTAAGTGAGCCGCTTGAAGGGTGGTATGAAATCCATGGAGTTTCCCAGGGGAAGAGCGTACTTTGCGATGAATATGTGCCATTTCCTGAAGCAATTTGCAAGAACATTGATACCGAAGGACACAAGGGATTAGCAAGACTGCTGGTAGCTCTCGACGACCCCTGGAACCTCGGCGACGACGGATCAAATGCCATGAATGGAATTACAGAAATGGAATAAATGTGATGCGTGGTTAGAGGTTAGGATAAGTTCGCATTTAGTGTAAACATTATTATTTTTAATACAAAATCCAAACATAACCATTTCTTTTAATCAATAAGCCATAATAATTCATCAACAGGGAGAATTACAAACATCATATTAGCTATAAAACCAACAAATCAAATAAGATTATAAAATACATTAAAATGCTTAGGTACTTACATAAAATGTATCTTTCATTCATACAAGTTGATAATATAGACTTAGGTTTAATCATTTCTCTTCTATCTCAAGAATTGCATAAATGTTTCTGTGATTCGCCAGATTTAATGAACATTAAAAAAAAATTGTATAAGTATAATATGACTTATTTCAATCTTAAATAAGACGTCACAAAACTATTGGTTACCTTAGATTAACTTTAACACATTAAACTTACGTTACTTGAAAAATAGATACGTATTACCTAGCTAGAAAATTCATATCGATTTTTGCAATCTCTAATAACTACATACATAAAATATCTGCTTGTTTTGTACAGAATATTTTGGTATTACAGGGTGTCCCACAAACAATGGATAACCTTGTAACTATCGATAAGGCTCTCACTATGATTTTGGCTTAGATTATAATCTAAGGATTTTGGATAAAAAAAAAACAATCTGCAATAATTGCGATGCCACACTATGAATTAAATTATCCTTTTCTTCTTTTTTCTTTTCTTAAATACTTTTTTTTGAACTACTTTGTTGAACACCATGAGAAAAACTAATCACACAGGTGGCAATTTTCAAAAAATTAAAAAATAGAACATCTTGAAAACTGTGATACATTTACTAAGGATAAAGAGAGATATTGATAGTTGCAGGGTTATCCATTATTTTTGGGACACCCAGTATTTATATTATGTATTTGGCATTTTGAAGGGTTTTATTAGCCTACAAATTAAGAGGTTTGGTTTTATCTACATTGTAATACTATCTGAATAATGTAATGTTTCTAGTAGGTAAATTACCTACTAAAAACACAAAACCAACCGTTCCCGCCGCGTTTGCACGCCCTGAGCCGTTCCGTGCTCCCGCGCTAATTTTAGCGGAGGCCCAAATCCTCTAAGGCTCAGTTTCCACCAAAGCGGAGCGAAGCAGAGAAGTGTGTTGAATAACAAATCAAATACATATAATTTTTTCCACTTCTCGTCTCCGTCTCCGTGCAGTTCCGCTCCACGCCGCGCCGGCTTTGACAGCCCGACACTTTTCCGCTCCGCTTTGGTGGAAACCGGGCCTAAAGCCTAAACAGCGTCCTTACATCCAGCACTGCACCCGTGGGTAAGCGCGTACGTCGCCTATATCTCTATTGCGTTTCTCCAGGATCTTCATGCGTTTCTCGTGCTGCACTGCGTTTGACAGCGCTCCCTCGATGCAGGTCACTGGACGGTTTCTGGTGAAACAATGAAATATGGTAAGATACCCATGAAATCCTATTAACGAGTACGTAGGTAGGTACTTATGTGAGGACGGATGGATGTTTGTTTCATGGTGCCTCACCACTACCACTAACTACGTACGTCATTGACTCATTGAGAGGAATTTTCAGATCTATTAAAGATTTATCAACGAAGATACACAATCTGGTTAATTCATGCTTGTTATGTGGGTGGTATTTTAGGTGGATAGTAGTAGCAACAGGTGTGATTTTACAAAAATGTATTAGTCAAATGTGCTTTCGACTACTTAAATAAGTCGACACTATATTGACACTTAGCAGTTGGGATCAAAGTAGGAGGCACTCACAGCATCTTCCCATTAGGTTCAGACTGCAACGCCGACTGTATCTTCACGCTGACCGGTCGGTCCTTGCCTCCCTTCAGCGCCAGGTCGGTCAGGTACCGCTTGATGTAAAGCTTGAGCTGCACGTTCTCCTTGCCCAGTTTGGCCTTCTCGGCTCGAAGACACATAGTCTGAACCCTCACGCGGTTCAGCTTCAACATGAATTTGTCCATTTTGCTGTATTCTTTGCATTCATTCTGGAAAGATATTTTCGATATTAAATTTGTGGATTCATGACATTCAAGGTATTTTAGATAACGTAGTTACTGTAGTTTAATGATTTCCAAGAAAGTATGTAACGTACTAAGGCCTACCCTACGTCTTGGTCGCGACTCGAGAACTCTTCTGCCCCTAAAGCCATCAGTTCTACTTCTACGAACTAAGTACCTACCTAAGTAGGTAGGTCCAGTAGTGGACGTCATTTAAGTAAGTAGCTGCAAAAACTAACGAATGTAATGTACTCACAATCATAGCCCCATCCAAGTTTTCAAAGTCGACAGGCGAGCCGTCGTCGTCTACATCCTTGAGAAAAACCTCATCGTCTTCATTTTCGTATTTACGGCAGATTTCTTCCAGTTGCATAATCTTATTCAATTTCTCCTGCACTTCTTCAAGGCGCTGAAATAAATTAGGAATTCGAGCATTCTTGAATCGTTTCTCTCGTACGTAATTACCTGACTTTATCGTACGTTATGAACTGTCAAATGATAACGATTGCTTTACACAATTCCACCTCTGACCCACCTGGATGTCAATTTAATTGGGGGTTGGTGAAGCAAGCAGGACCAGCTGTAGAAATCTTTGGAAGAAGGTGAAGAAGTATACCTTGATAGCATCCTGGCTAGCGTTCACCATGACAGTCATCTGGCTGTCTCCTTTGCTCCTGTGAGTCTTGGACTCCTTCTTCATCTGCCAGTACCGTCTGGATAGCTCTTCTTTATGATTGGTCATCTTCGCCAGCTTATGGCTGATCATATTGGTCGTCTTTACCCACTCACGCTGCAGGGTCATGAGTAGATCCTACGTAGAGAAAGAATATGATAAGATTATGAATTTCTAACTTAATGTTGTAATTTTTTCTTGAAGACGTCGTTTCCTCATCATCAGTAGTTAGGTCATTCCACCAAAAGTACAACTTTCTAATTATTCATCAGAGGAAAACGGAGAATTTGGCCGACACTCCGTATGCTGGCCAAACGGGTTGGAGAGGCTTGACGTTCCTGACGCAACCAGCTATATTCTGGAAGCGGCATTCAAACTCCCCTCCGAACTTTTTGTGCTTTTCTTAGCTTGTAATGGTTTTCCAGGTGCAATCACCGTTAATGATCTTAGTACCTACTGAAGTGTCTTCTTCGTGCTAGCTACATCGCAGAAATAAGTAACAGAGCTATTAAAAACAGGTTGGTGAAACTGAAGTAGGCTTACCGTAGCCTGTTGAATGTGAGCGTCATTTCTCCCGATCTCCTGGCGGTAAAACTCGTCCTTCTCCCGTAAGGAGTGGTAGTGCGCCAGCATTGGCTTGTGATGTGCGAGGTACGAGTTGTACACTTCCTTCAGCTTGGACCAGTACGCTTCGATCTCTAGCTGCTTGGGTCGGCAAAGATCCCGCATTTCTTCTTCGTGCTAGAAGTTTACAAATTGATTTGTCTGTCTTATGATAATGAACTGTTGATGCAGCGAATATGAGAAAAAGTGTAAAGAAAGATGGTGATTTAATATGTTATGTGAGTGTTTATAAGTCTTCTTAATGTAGAATTTATCACGTGGATTCTTAGTGTGGATTATAAAAGTTGAGATTGTAATAATGGTTTCAGGCATAACGAGCCGATTAGCTAATCGGACCATAATATTCTTGTTTTTATCATCAAAAGTCGATTAACATTGCCTTGTTTGCTACACAATGAGGGTAGTTGACTATGCATATTCGCTAACAAACGACTGTATCACACCAATTTTCGATTGGCCTCAGTTTTCCTGTCATTAGAGCTGGCACGGGTTTCCGCCCCTTGATGGCATGTCACGATGTGACAGCTGTGACTGATCGCCATGACGAACTCTTTGTGGTCTGGAGTAGGGCGCTAAAATTCGCGTTCTGTGCTTGCTAGGGTCGCTACATTTAATTTATGTAAAGTAGGTAATGCATTTTTCATATTCTGGTAAAAATTACAAAAGATCTTAGATGAAGAAAGATAATTTAATAAGCCTCGAGTTTTCATGTCTGATGTCGTTAACAATTTTGCTCTTAATAGGTTTCCTTCACGAAAAATACTTTCCTACAAAATAGTCTATTGGCTTAGCGCGGTTTCCCTTTGATTTTTTTGTCTTCTTCAACTTCGGAATTAAAACCTAATCTTACCAGGAACAATAAGTAGGTACGTATTCAATGATAGACATAATCCTAAATGTACCTATTTACTTACTAACATTTCAATAAGCGATAACGATACTGGTTTACTTTACACTTGAGTAGATATAATTGGAAAATGCAGTTGGACATTGTAAATTTTCGAAGCTCATGGAAAAATTGGTGACCCTTTCAGACAAGATTATTGAAGCGTGGAACCGTTATATATGGTGTTTTTATTCGGCATCACCCAGTTGCGCGGGCGCAGCGAAAGTGAACATGTGTCATACCTTCCATTGTATTGTGATATTTGCCTTTATTGTATTGAATTGCGAAGTGAGTAAAACAAGGGTAGATTTAAAATTGATATGCCATCCATAGTCATAACTTGTGTATTACCATCAGATGAAAACTTATTTCCAATTCAACGTAGACCATACAATTTGAAATTATTTTAAAATCGGTTCATTCATGTTTAACTACAGGCTTTAACCTGCCGTTCTGAAGGTGGACCTAAGGAAAATGAGCTCAAATCCATATACATGACTTGTTTGAAGAAGCAAGAAGGGAAAAACACCAGCGATTCTCACGGGTACACAGAGGACTTGAAGGATTTGAAGGAAACTAGGGGCCAATCGAAGTTTCATCAAAAAACCAAATGGAACAGCGGCTCTATGGGAGATATAGATGACAGAATGAGAGACAGGGATGATAGAGACGATAGATCAAATCGAGATGACAGATCGAGAAATAGAGACGATAGAATGGGAGGTGGAAATGACAGAATGGGTGGAAGAGAAGAAATGTACGGTAGAGATAGAGCAGGCGGACGGGATAATATGAATGGAAGAAATAATATGATGGATAAAAATGAAGATATGAACAGATTTGGAAGGGAACCGTATGGTGATCGACAAGGTTTTCCGCAAAGCGATGAATACGATAGTGTAAGTATTTTTTTATCATGATGTTCCAAGTTATATCCTTTGGTTCATAATGCAAACTTTTTGATATAGGAAATGATCCGTTACGGGCAACATTCTACAACCCAGTCGTCCCGAAGGTTCAAGAGGAGCAGACGTACGGAAATTAACTCTGGACAAAGAAGTCAGTACAATCCGAATACCAGAAAGACCTCGCAGTACGAGGAAACATTTAAGAATGATGACAAGAACTCCAGTAATTCTAGCAGAGAAATGGATAACAAAGCATGCGCTTTGCATTGCTTTATGGAACAGCTGGAAATGGTAAATATTTAAAAACTTTGGTTCTACACTGACGTTGTTTGTAGTGATTTTAGATTTTTGTGTTCAGGTAGGTAGTTATTGTAAATTTTTGAAGCATTACATGGATTCGTATTGTAGACAGGTGACAATGGTATGCCGGATAGATATCTGGTTACACATGCTATAACAAAAGATGTGAAGAATGAGGACCTCAGAGATTTTCTGCAAGAATCAATTGAAGAGTGCTTCCAGATACTTGACAATGGTATGTAAAAACTTTTTAATGGTGATACATTTTGTCTTTTGAATTTTATTTTAAATGATAATGTTTAATTTTACAGAAAACAGTGAAGACAAGTGTGAATTTTCGAAAAATCTTATGACGTGCTTATCAGAAAAAGGACGAGCTAACTGTGATGACTGGAAAGATGACCTACAATTTTAATTTTGTAATAGATTTTATTTTATTAATCCTGAAAACATAATCATTTAATTTTGTAACTATTGTAATGATGCACTGATACATCTTAAAGTATCTACCTGGAAGGTTTATTTTACTTTACCTACTCCTTTTTTTCATATTAGTAATCTACTACATACATATTATTAACTAGAGGCACAAGCCTTTTAACTAGGTACTAAACCTTGGTCTTCTTCAGATCTTACCTCAAGTCTAGCGTCATTTTTCGTCGTAGCCCGTTTCAATTCCATCTCTATCTTGTAGGCCTTAAAGTCCCTATTCTGGATGTACGTGATTAGCTTTAGTTTGAACTCCGCTCGGTCCTGTTTGTCGCTGATGTCGAATTCTTCTTTGTCCCAGTTTTCCAAAAGAATATTCTTCTGGTAGTCATATTCTGCTTGCAATTTGTCAAGGCGTTGGGTGCCTATGCCTAGAATAGAAAAGATTGTGGGTCATGTGAAAGCAACGTCGATAATAGTCGATATAGCTTCACAAACTATCATCAGTATCAGAATTTTGAAGCCACTACAGCCGAACGGTGAAAGGGGTCGGACTGGCCGACTCGTGATCCTGGGAACGCGGGTTCAGTCCCCACCGGCGTTCGACTATTATGGTGAGCTCACTCGTGAATCTCGTGATACAAGCATATTTAGCTTAGTACGAGGGGCTAACGGGACTATTAGTAATAGGTAATTTGTGTAATAAGTAATAACAAATAACTAAAAATATTAAAAAAAACACGGTAGAGCATTTAATAGTATTCCCTACTTTCTTCTTTACACCTTTTCTTGTCTTGTGTGGTATACAAGGAAGTGAGAACAGTCTTAAAGAACAAAATGTTCTTTTATCCTTACCTAAGAAGTAGCTGACGTTCTCTGTATGAGCCTGAAACGCGCGCCGATGCTGGTCATCCGAATCGTCGATGGCCCTCACCAGGTATTGTATGAGACGGTCTTTCCTCTCGATCAGAAAGTTGAAGCTTGTGATCATTCCCTAAAATACAGTTAAAAGCCTAATTAAAAGCTCGTTCCAAATAAGATAGGTATATGGGCTACATGGGAAGATATGTATTTAATTCCCATCTGATTCCAGTTAAAGTAGGAAGGTACACTATATCATTTCAATTTACTGTGATAGTGACAATAGTTTCATGTGGTGTTAGACTACTGAATCCTCGAAATCTTTACCTGAATGTCCAAAGCCATTTGCTTGCACTTGATTCTTCTGAGAATGTACCGCCATTCTTGGTTTATCTTCGCTCTATTCATACGGCTGTACGTTTCTTCTTTGTCCAGTTTGTTCTGGAATTGTAAAAATAAATTATTATCAGTTCATTTGATTCGACTATCTATATCACTTGTCTCACCAATGCCGGACAAGGACTTTACATCGGGACTAATTGGGAGTCCTGACCTCTTAATAGACCACAATTATGTTAGAAAGACTATTCCCACCTCTCGTTCCCACCACTGCAACTCCTGTGTAGCCAGGATCTACAGCTTGACCGCCACAAAAACCCAACCAATGAAGGTCAAGTTTGTCCCGGGGGAAAGTTAAACTGTCATTGGACCCGCAACGAAATTAATCAGAAGAACATAGGAGGAGTTCGAAATTAAGGTTCGACTTCCCTCCATTGCAAAGCGGATGACAGGTGANATCTTCACAATTATGTTACCTTGATGAACCTCGCGATGAGTTCCATCTTCTCCGGCGAGCCTCTTCCTCCATATTAGCCCTGTGCTGGAGGTACCGGGCCCTCTCCTCGCCCGACATACGGGCCAGCTTATTCGTCTCCACCCCGCTAGACCAATGCATCATGTTAGGTACCTTGATGAACCTCGCGATGAGTTCCCTCTTCCTCCGGCGAGCCTCCTCCTCCATATCGGCCCTGTGCTGGAGGTACCGGGCCCTCTCCTCATCAGACATGCGAGCCAGCTTGTTCACTTTGTTCTTGTTCCTCACCCCACTAGACCAATGAATCATGTTACCTTGATGAACCTCGCGATGAGTTCCCTCTTCCTCCGGCGAGCCTCCTCCTCCATATCGGCCCTGTGCTGGAGGTACCGGGCCCTCTCCTCATCAGACATGCGAGCCAGCTTGTTCACTTTGTTCTTGTTCCTCGCCCCACTAGACNTCTTGTTCCTCACCCCACTAGACCAATGAATCATGTTACCTTGATGAACCTCGCGATGAGTTCCCTCTTCCTCCGGCGAGCCTCCTCCTCCATATCGGCCCTGTGCTGGAGGTACCGGGCCCTCTCCTCATCAGACATGCGAGCCAGCTTGTTCACTTTGTTCTTGTTCCTCACCCCACTAGACCAATGAATCATGTTACCTTGATGAACCTCGCGATGAGTTCCCTCTTCCTCCGGCGAGCCTCCTCCTCCATATCGGCCCTGTGCTGGAGGTACCGGGCCCTCTCCTCATCCGACATGCGGGCCAGCTTGTTCACTTTGTTCTTCTTCCCCATTTTTGGTTATTTCAACAGCTTTTTCAAAATCTGCAACGCAAGATAAACTCGTATTTAGAGGAAAATTGCTGTAGATACAAGCACGACTGTTTTCCTACATGATAGTATGTCTTCGATACAATGCGCCGTGCGGCTTTTATTCAAACTTAATCCAAAGAGACTAATGCCCATTTTCACCATCAATCCCTAATTTTTAAGTGACCCCTATAGTAACACATATCAGGAATTTTGTTTTCAAAGAGGCCACTTAAAAATTAGGGATTGATGGTGAAAACGGGAATCATTTCGAAAAACAAGAGGATTTCTTTTGTTTTTCGAAATGATTTTCATCAGCCTACCGTCTACTAAGTGGTTGGTAGGTATAGAAAACTAATATCAAACATTACTTTAATATCTAGAAAGTACCTACTTTCTAATTTTAAGTTTCAGACTAATTAACTTTTCAACAACACAGTAGGTACAAAATAACGAAACCATCTAAACAGAAACTCATGAAAAATAAAGATCTTACCTGAAATCAACCAATTTTATTATCAGTGCGGAGTTTCCCGACGGCAACGCGTGCATTGAACAAACTAATAAATTCCCACCATGGCAACAGGTGGGGAGTCATTTGCTGAAATAATGTTTCGGGGCTTGCAATTTGATTACATTTGGTTTGCACGCAATTTTTGATAAACATGTTATAAAATCTTATTTTGATATCATGTTAATTAATGCTAACTTCATTATCAACCGAAAACAGAAATGTTTTATAGGTAATCATTAGATGCTTCTTGATGATGATCTTGCTTATGACTGATGAAAATCAGTTTAAAACTTTTACTAAAACTGAAATAAGTGCTAATATTTTTCATAAATTAATTAACGATCACTCGAGTGAAAATTAGGAATTAGTTTTATAAAAACAAAAGAATACCGTTGAAGTTTTAACACTCATTGGCCTGCCAGTTTCATAATGGTATGAAAATGCAATAAAACTTTTTACAAAATTATATGTTTTTTTCGCGCGCAAAGTTTCGACGTCTGTCATCGTTCATGCCGTTTCCATAGCAACAGTATTTATTTACCACTTGTTACTGTCAGTTTCTGTTTGGTAATTTCTAGCTGAATAAAAAGTTATTTGGTGAAGTAAGTATTCATGGTAATGGATACCCAGTCCTCGGGGACCTTGCAGTCTCCTTCTACGTACTCAGAGAGTTCCAAGACTGGAAGCAGCAAGTCTGGAGCAAGTGGTGCTGATAAAGATAAGGAGCAGGACCTTACGAAGGATAATGGTAGGTTAATGTGTTGTTTTTGGTTCAATTCTTGACAATCTCTCGCTGAGATTGATTCAAGTCGCTTAAATTGTAAAGATTTGCGGAACGCTTTCATGTCATGGGATGAGAGATTAATTCTTAGTATCAAAACTTGATCAAAACGCTTTGAGATTGCAGCGAGAGCTGCTAATCCTCTACTAAAATGCTGAATAGTCCTTGTTTTCGACGTCGTTTATATTTTCCCTACGACAGTTTTACTTTGAAAATGTGCCTGCATTTATAGCTGCGTCGCCCATCGACCTGGAATGCCACATTCAGGCGGAGCGCATCACCAAGATCCTGGACGAGGCGATATACAAGACGAAGCTCGCCATCTGTCTCCCGAACCTCGTGCAGGAGTACAAGACCCTCAGTTCTATCCTGTCTTCTCAGCACATGGACGATCTGATCTTCATATTCGAGCAGTACGACAATCCGCTGTTTTCGACTAGTCTGCTGAATATGGCTGCTATGGAAGATATAAAAGGGGTGTGTTTTTATAAACTAAGTATTTATAGAGACTTGGTTGGTATACCACTTCATTGTTTTCTGTCGTGGTTGAATCGAGTCTCCTATACCTAATCGTTCGTTTCAGCCAAATCAATGACGTCTACTTTTGGGCAAAGGCCCTAAGGATTTCCACAAAGACCGGTACTGCGCGCCGCCGCATCCTGGCCACCTAATATTTTTTCTATATTTTTTTTTGTTTTTATTCTTATTTTCTAGTTAACAGAGTTTTAGCACATCTCATGTGGTTGCAGACTGCGGTTTTCCTTTTGGCATACCTACTTTTCAGTTTACCAATGTAATTTGTTCCAGGGAGACGTATCTCTAAAAAACCGACTGAATCCAGAGCTAGGTCATCTTTTGTACATCATGAACAGCTACCCAGCTCTAAGACATAAAGTCGAGGAGATGGTGGATGAGGTTTGTACCTCAAACGCTTTAGACTTGATTTACGACATTAAATACCTACTATTTTAACTGACGTCTACCTTCTGCAGATGAAAGCAGATCATGCTGAAGGATACGAGGTAAGTGTGCGATTTAATAAATTATTGTTTTTTCTTTAACCTTATTTTTCATTGATTCATTGATTTAGCAACTTAAGATTGCCTTTTACTCGTATTATACATGAGACTGGCATTCCTTTATACTTCTGCCATTGGCCTATTATATACCAAGTTTAATAAATTAGTAAGGTAATTTAATTCTTCCAGCACCTCAGACCAGTTGCAGGACTAGATTATCTCCTGACGTTCGAGCAGTTCCGCGAGCTGATGGTGCGTCAATTACACATGACAGCTGCCGAGGAGCTGGCCACCAAGATCAGCACGAGGAAACTGGAGGCTTCCAACGAGAAACTCATCGATAAGATCAAAGGTTGAAGGCATTAGGGACACCGGACAGTAGTTGTAGGAAGGAAGAGTGCTTTAGAGCGCTTTCACATTTAGGCGACTTTAGCAGCGCGACAAACGCGCAAAAGACGCGCTGCCGATAATTTTATACTACTTATATGACAGCAGATGCCTGCCTTTTTTCATATTATAAAAACGCTGCTGTCGCGCTTCTCACGCCATAAACAATTTTTGCTTTGCGTTTTGCACAATTGGCAATCATTGTGCCTGGCTAATGCTATCATCATCCTATGATGATGAAGATTATGGCCAACTTGATAAAATGTGGATCATTACAGAATACACCGCAACATTGAAGGATGAAAACACTAGGTTCGAGGAGACGATGGCTCTGAAGTCAGACATAATAACCAAGTTGGAACAAGAGCTGGCTCTACTGAATCATGAGGCCACCATAAAACTTAAAAAGAAAATGTAAGTTCATAATCAAGAAATACTGTATTTTCTACTTTTTGTTCTTTTCCTTGCTGTCCCGCTCCATGATAGAGTATCGGAATTAGAGAGAGAGGTGATTCTGAATCTGTTACGGGTATTATTGATGTATAGCTGATCAGCCCTTTCGGATTCAAAGGATTCAGTGTTCTCTGGCGACATTCTTTCTTTTATTTACTTACAATTTTTGTACGTTGTTGCTGTAATGTTGTCAAGAAGCTCATTGATACTAATCGTTTAAACTGAATTCTAGAAGATAGTATAATTTTCAGCCTAGATTCAGACCGTCAGATGGTGCTCGCGACCCGCGCCCATGCAGTCAAGAGCGAAATGCTGAAAGAAGAAGAAGTGGAGAGCCGAGAGAGCTACGAGTCTCTGCTTAGGATACACCTTATTGATGAGAAGAATCAAAGGGCAAGGAGGTAGGGATACCTTCTTATATTAGAGGTATAAAAAGACAGTATTCTGGTTCTCTGATTATACGCGTAGGGATTCTAGGGATCAACGTGACATTATATTATAGAAGACGCTGGATATGATTTAGGTACTGCTCGATTTGATGACTGATGATAACTGTGCTGATAAGCCATTCTATTTTTGTAGCTAATGCAGATTGCTTCTAATGATTCTGTTCTGTTCTTCTGTCACTGGACTTCTTAGATATGGCTTTAATAGTAAATTGCTTTTACAGATTCCTAGCTGACCTATTATGTTAAAAATTTGTCCTAGATTCAAAGTGGAAACCCAGCTGTTGTCATGGCTGCAAAAGTACGACCTGGAAATGGGGGATAAGCAGGTGGAGCTTGACGAATACACAGAGAAGTTTGAAGACGAAACGCAGAAGTGTGAAGACTTAGAGGTAAAGAAATAATGCATAATTACTTGCTTGAGAATTTCAGATTAATAACAGTATGGATCGTGTCATCCACGAAGACGCGCCCCACCATACTTTCGCTAATGTTTGATTGTTATCGGTAGATGCCAAATTATCCATGAGTGCACACGCACACTAGGTACAATAATGACGCTCGGATCAAACTACCCGCACCCCGCGCTTCCCTCGACCAAAAATGGTGGGGCGCGTCTTGGATGACGATCTACACTTGCCTAGCTAACCCTCATTCTGTTTATCAGTATGTTCAACTTCAATTAAAAGCGTAGCCCGAAAGGTGGTATTCAATGTATTTATCACGAGTGACTTTATCGGGTAGAATTTGCAGCTGGTGTCGACTCCAGTTTACCGCACCTATTTGCACCAACATTTATGATGTCCAAGTGGCAACCTTGATGTGCCATTATCCACACTTGAACATTTGCCTGTTCTCTCAAACTAAACTTCTGATCCTCAGGCGAAACTAGCCGAGCAAGACAAGGAGTACGTGCCACTAATGGCCGAGCGCGAAGAAGAATACCACCAAGAAATGACGGAGAAGATGCAGAAGTTCCTCATGGAGCACGCGGCCAGGGTTATCCAGGTCGCCTGGAGAGATGTGCTGGCCAATAGAGCGGAGAAGAAACGGGTGAGAAATATTTTATGATAGGTATTGTAGGGTCGTTTTTGCTGTGCTTTGAAGTGATGAGAACCATTTCCTAACTAAAGAAGACATGAGATTGGGCACTAATATTTTATTTAGCGCATAGTTGAATAGGTGTCCTGCGGTGTTGGAGCGGGGGAAGGATGTGTTTTTCTTATGTCAAATGCCGCGACTCTTCAGATTCAGACGTGTGTACTGTGAAAGCTCTCTGACGTCACACGTATGTCACCCCATACTCGGTTATGCGCTACTTATGCCAGTTAGTGTGGGAATATTATCTTCGCTTTCTTTCGTGGAATATTATTTTACGATACAGTTCTTGTCTATTGCCTTTTTTTTTCTACCATTGAAAACATGACTAATCATTATGAATGTTCTTGCATTTAATTATAACATTTTGTTTTCTTCTTTACATGCAGCTAAAAGGAAAATCGAAAAAGGGGAAGAAGAAATAACTGATACATATTCCTCAACTGCCTATTCACCCTTTCGATCATTCTTTATCCTTCCTATTCCTTTTATTCATCCTATCTTCTCTAAATTACAATCCATAATGTTTATTCTTCTAACCCCCAGCTGAAGAAGATTCAGAAGAAAATGCAAGCAGCCGCCGCAGCCGCCGAGAAAAAAGGAGGCGGGAAGAAATAATTGACCAAGTAATCCATTTTGTGATATTTTTATTTTATTTCTATAGCTTCAAAATAATAAATAAAGATATGATTTGCAACTTTTCATAGTTTTGCATCACAGAAATATAATTTACAACAGTAAAAGCTTTCAAATTCAAAATAACGGAATCTAATAACAATATGAATAGTGTAAAAGTCTAATATCTACTTACTTAATACGCGGATTTACAAATCTATGAAATTATATTTGAGACCAAAGACATTACAAAAATATAAAATACTCAAGATTTTAAAAATCTTCGCGTACGAATTTAACTTTTGTCTGTTCTTGCTTCTGTGTTTAATCGATATTTTTATCAATCGTACAAAGATTGGTACTAAGGGGAAAGTTCCTGATAGCTATCTGACTTAATATAACGCTATCAAAGAGTTGCCGATTAAGTACTGGGTCTTGTGACTCTGCCAGATAGGTACTTGTACCGGTTAAACCAAAAGTTTCAATATAATTTACCAGAAGATCTAAAGTCCTTAATAGGATATCCGGGACTTAATCAGTAAGAGTGAAGCAAGCCATGATATTATTACCACCAACACTCCTTACTCCATGCGATATATTTTCATCAAACAAAAGCAGTTCCTAAAAAATTAAGTATATCCTCTCTCAAATCTTCTCTTCATCGTCAACGACCTTCAAATGCCTGATGGCGCGGACATCTATGAGAGTATCAGAGGAGCTCTTGGTGGTAGGCACGAAGGAAATGGCCCGGCGCGCTCGCTCGCCGTTCCTGATTGATGGGTTCATGTCCTGTAGGGTACAAAAAGAAGAAGTGATTAGAGGCAAAAGCTTGAATTTGAATAATTGCGTTGGAAGGGCAAAGACTCTCTCCCAAAGTGATAGTACCTATACCTAATACTCAAGTTCTTAAGATCTAATCATCATTTGGTGAGATTGAGGTGAAACGCAGACTCAGTACGTAGACGGTATTTATAACATTGACAGAAGGGTTTTACACAAAAGATGGTAGAAAAGTATACAGTGTGAGTCACGTTAAAGTGTACATATGAAAATAGATGAAACTAGACCTATTTTTATCGACAAAAAAGAGGCCAAAAAATTTTTGAGATTTTTTTTTTAATTTTTTATAGAATTTTTTTTCTTCAAATTACTTATTGTAAAGAAAACGTAATAACTTTTAAACTAAGCGGTATATCCTGATAAAATAAAAACAGTAATAATGCTAAATAACAGGCGATACTAGAAAAATAAAATACACAAAAAATGCCAACAAATAATAAAAAATGATACTTTTTGAAAAAAATCTGCTTAAAAATTCGTGTTTTTTGGTTATTTTATAAATTTCTCCAAAAAATGCCCCTATAACCGGTGGTTTTTATTACTTTGTATTATTTTCTATCGTATTATCTTTGTAAAACCAAAAATCGCATGTCTCTATCCCTATCACAACATTTGCAATGATCGTTTGAACTAAGCCTCTCCGGGCGCGCCATTCAACGCTTCGTTAACAACAAAACTGAAAATGGCTCTAGATTTGTAATTTTGATAAAGACAAGTTAGATTTCAAATAAAAACAAAAGATTTCGAAGTAAAATAAGCATTTTAGTTAAAATTAAAATTGTCTCTACCTGTAGCGGAGAATAATGTTGTGGCAGGCCTTTGTTCAAACGATCATAGCAAATGTTGTGATAGGGATAGAGACATGCGATTTTTGGTTTTACAAAGATAATACGATAGAAAATAATACAAAGTAATAAAAACCACCGGTTATAGGGGCATTTTTTGGAGAAATTTATAAAATAACCAAAAAAACACGAATTTTTAAGCAGATTTTTTTCAAAAAGTATCATTTTTTATTGTTTGTTGGCATTTTTTGTATTTTTTTAGTATCGCCTGTTATTTAGCATTATTGCTGTTTTTATTTTATCAGGATATACCGCTTAGTTTAAAAGTTATTACGTTTTATTTACAATAAGTAATTTGAAGAAAAAAAATTCTATAAAAAATTAAAAAAAAATCTCAAAAAATTTTTGACCTCTTTTTTGTCGATAAAAATAGGTCTAGTTTCATCTATTTTCATATGTACACTTTAACGTGACTCACACTGTATAGTCTGGTCTGCGAGCACGTAGAATTTTGTCCAATGACATTAATTTGATAAGGATGGGTAGCTTGGGGTCATTGGAGAAAATTGTAATGTACGTGCTCACAGACCGGGCTTTAGATAGTTTATTTCAGATGCATTTCAGTTAGATGAGGTTTGTCTGTATTTTCTATTGATATGACCTCGTAAATGGCATGGTGTCTTTATTTAAAGATCAATTAAGTTTAAATAATTCTAAGAAAATAATAATACCTTTCCACGTACCCTCAAATGCACATGCAACGCTTTAGATATTTCAGTTTTAGATATTTTCTCTTGTGCGGCTTTTAGTTCATCATCTAATCTTTGCTTCTCTAACTCCAGTTCTTTCAGTCTCTTCTCCGCTTCTCTGTATTGCGCTTCTTTTTCAGCTTGTAATATTTCAAACTGTTTCCGTTTCAATCGTTCTTCTTCTAACATTCTATTTTGTTCCTCTTGTAATCGTTCTAATTCCTCTCGTCGCTCCCATTCTTCTGCTAGAACTCTGAAAGTTTTAGAAACGGTATAATTTTAATCGGTTATTTGGTTCAGTGTAATATTTAAAACTATGTCGAGGATTTACCTAGCCTGAAGAGCTCTAACGATTTCTTCGTCTCTCTTCGCTTGCGTTTCTTCTTGTAGTAATTTCTCCAGTTCGGCTTGAGTGTGTTTTAATTCTTCTAATTTCTTGTTATCTTGTTGTGCCATTTCTACTAATTCCTGTTGGATAGAAAAATCATTTATGTTTTTTAATCTACATTTCTTACACAAGCTTTTGTCCAGCAGTGGACGTCATTTAGGTAGAACGAACGACCGTACGATTAAATTGAGAGAAATTGCTTTTGCAAAAACCAGTTAGGTAGGTATGTGATTCTGCTGAACTTCTTAGAGATTGGTTACCATAAAAAAGCGGCTGTACTTCTGAATAATATATTAGTGGTTCCTAAAAAGAGTTTTTTGCCTGAATCCTGAATTAGTTCCTACCTGCGCCTGCGCCTCAGCTGCTAATCTCGCCCAGTCCTCATTCTGTAGCCGGGCCTTGGTCTCGCGTCTCCCACCCCGCGCTCTTCGTTGGTACCCCTCCGCGCCGTCAAATACCGCGGCCGCTTGACTAGTTGATGCTGATGATGATGCAAAAAAAACGTTTTGCCTGAATCCTGAATTATTTCCTACCTGGGCTTGCGCCTCAGCAGCTAATCTCGCTCGGACTTCATTCTGCAGGCGGGCCTTAGTCTCGCGCACCTTCCGCTCCTCCCGCGTCCCGCACCGCGACCTGCGCTGGTACCCCTCTGTACCACTAGATACCGCGGATGCTTGACTAGTTGATGAAGATGATGACACAAAAAGGCCAAACAGATTCATCATTCATTTAGGATTCAGGATTGATGCTGATGATGACGCAAATAAGGGCCTTTTATCCTCATCAGCTGATCTACACAATATTCGTTCCTACCTGTGCTTGCGCTTCAGCTGCTAATCTCACTCGGACCTCATTCTGCAGGCGGGCCTTAGTCTCGCGCACCTTCCGCTCCCTCCGCGTCCCGCACCGCGACCTGCGCTGGTACCCCTCTGTACCACTAGATACCGCGGATGCTTGACTAGTTGATGCTGACAATGATGCAAGAGCTTTTTGGCCTTATCGTCTGTACTTCTGAACATTAGCCGTTCCTACCTGCGCCTGCGCTTCAGCAGCTAATCTCGCCCGGACTTCATTCTGCAGCCGGGCCTTGGTCTCGCGCACCTCCCGCTCCCTCCGCGCCCCCGCCCCGAGTCTTCCAGCCCTTGCTCTTCGTTGGTAGCCTTCTGCACCGCCAGATACCGCGGTCGCTTGACTATTTGATGCTGATGATGATGCAAAAAAGAGCGTTTTGCCTGAATCCTGAATTAGTTCCTACCTGTGCCTGTGCTTCAGCGGCCAATCTCGCTCGGACCTCATTCTGCAGCCAGGCCTTGATCTCGCGCACCTTCCGCTCCCTCCGCGTCCCGCACCGCGACCTGCACTGGTACCCCTCTATACCACCAGATACCGCGGCCGCTTGACTAGTTGATGCTGATGATGATGCAAAAAAAAACGTTTTGCCTGAATCCTGAATTATTTCCTACCTGGGCTTGCGCTTCAGCGGCTAATCTCGCTCAGTCCTCATTCTGCAGCCAGGCCTTGATCTCGCGCACCTCCCGCTCCCTCCGCGCCCCCGCCCCGAGTCTTCCAGCCCTTGCTCTTCGTTGGTAGCCTTCTGCACCGCCAGATACCGCGGTCGCTTGACTATTTGATGCTGATGATGATGCAAAAAAGAGCGTTTTGCCTGAATCCTGAATTAGTTCCTACCTGTGCCTGTGCTTCAGCGGCCAATCTCGCTCGGACCTCATTCTGCAGCCAGGCCTTGATCTCGCGCACCTTCCGCTCCCTCCGCGTCCCGCACCGCGACCTGCACTGGTACCCCTCTATACCACCAGATACCGCGGCCGCTTGACTAGTTGATGCTGATGATGATGCAAAAAAAAACGTTTTGCCTGAATCCTGAATTATTTCCTACCTGGGCTTGCGCTTCAGCGGCTAATCTCGCTCAGTCCTCATTCTGCAGCCAGGCCTTGATCTCGCGCACCTCCCGCTCCCTCCGCGCCCCCGCCCCGAGTCTTCCAGCCCTTGCTCTTCGTTGGTAGCCTTCTGCACCGCCAGATACCGCGGTCGCTTGACTATTTGATGCTGATGATGATGCAAAAAAGAGCGTTTTGCCTGAATCCTGAATTAGTTCCTACCTGTGCCTGTGCTTCAGCGGCCAATCTCGCTCGGACCTCATTCTGCAGCCGGGCCTTGGTCTCGCGCACCTCCCGCTCCCTCCGCGCCCCCGCCCCGCGCCGCCCCGCCCTCGCTCTTCGTTGGTAGCCCTCGGCACCGCCAGATACCGCGGCCGCTTGGCGGAGCGCCGATATCCATTGGAGGCGACTCCTGGAAAAACAGCGGATTGTTTCAGTATCTCCTGTGTCCATAGTCCGATCTGGCAAGTATTTACGCTTGGTGGCTCGCCAACTGGTAAGCGCCGAAGCGGTAGGAGGATCCAAATGCGATTCTCCTACCGCTTCGGTTTGGAAATAATAATACACACTGAGGAGTTTCATCTTCATTTATGTTGTTTCTTTTTCTTTGAACTTCTAAACAATTATTCCTTACCAGTTTGTCAATGGAGAGACTGGCTGAATAGACCTACTGTCTACTATCATCACTTACTTATGATCCTGAGTCCCAAACTCGAACGTTCTATCAGGGGTGATGAGCTGGAATCTCTGCAGCTTGCCTTCTCCCGCTGCTGCTTCTACAGAACAGTACTCGTCGATTGAGATCCTTCCGCACTGCTCTTTCTGAGACGAGCTCTTGTAGTAAGTGAGGGCACACGGCTGGAGCACGCACCAGTATTCGCGCATCGTTGGAAGCAAGTACCCTCGTTTGAAGAGGTAGCCCTGAAAGGTCGTGAATATTTGACGTGTTACGTTGTTCTTTAGATAAAGGAATACCCCAAGGTTGCTTATCAAGTCCTATGTTATTTATTGTAATGGATATTTCACTAATTCAATAATTATCAGCTGCGTAAATAAATATTTAGGGTTAAAGATAAGATGTGTGACAATGTTTTAAAATTTATGTTTAAACAGTGTTATCATCATAGTTTTATAATAAAATTGCGACTGATTCTACACAACTCTTATCCTCTAATGTATGGTATGGTAATAGGTAGGTTCTAAAAATGTTAAACCTAAAAAATCTTACGTTTCTTACCTTCTTAATAATATCTTCAATGAACACGTCGTATATCTCATCGACCGCCTCCACCAAAGCTTTAGAGTGGATCTGCTGGTCGCAGCAGTACTTGGCTTCTAAGACGGCCAAGAAGGCAGCCCACTTGAAGTGGCCGATGGAGGAGCCTAGAGCCTCCCAGTCGGCGGCGTCCCAACGAAGCCCGAGGCAGTGGACTAGCTGTTCCGCTACGATGCCGGCTTCGGACGGCTGCAGGACTATCTGCAGATGCAAAATGGTATCTTATGTAACAATAAATAGTCACGATTATTAAAAAAGACATGGCTACAGTAGCCAATCTTGTTGGTAAACGTGCGCGAACAATGTCGACACGTTAGGACACCGCTGATGTAGTTGTAAATGATAGCCTGCTGGTCTGGCTATATGAGCATCGGGCTTCGAATAGCCACGATAGCCGAACCACGCCGAATGGTGAATGGATCAGACTGACCGACTCGAGATCCGAGGAACGCGGGTTCGAATCCCACCGCCGCCCGACGACACGAGGGGCTAACGGGACTATTAGTAATTTGTACAATACAAATTGTTAAAAATCTTTAAAAAAAAAAAGATAAGTGAGTAAATGCGCTTTATAATTTAACAAACAATCCACTTTTGCTGCACTTATGAAGCGAGTGACATTTGAATGTACCTACCTAATTTTGAAGTTTAAGGAAAAGTTTAGAGAATTGGGTTACAGTGGTATTATTGTGGTATCATTGTACGACGATAGCGTAGCTCTATCTATAAAATTATTACTCAATATTATGAAGCGGCTCGTCGATAGAATTTACTCTCTTCAAGTCTTGAGTATTATTTGTGCTAGTTTAGAGTTAGTGATTCTAGATTCGTCACCAATCCGTCTCGTTTTTTGTAATCAATGTTGGCGTACTTAGGCATTGTTTTTTGTAACAGAATCTTACAGCTCATTGTCATTAGCATAAAAGATGCTTTGTTATAATTACAGGTTGTTGACCCCAATCCTTATAAGCTACATGTGGCCGGCATGTGCAGCATATTAACTTTATGATCTCCTAATTAGTGACGTCATAGTTCTGGGGAGGTCGGAACAAAGTACGAATTACGGACATTCTCAATGGCTACTCTTTATGAGATAGTAGTGCTTCTGAATGGACGGATGATTAAAATGATATGGCGTTAATGGATGGCGGCCATATTTGATGGGAGTTTTATCTTATCGTCAATTTGGGACTTGAAACTATTGCAAGTAAAATACAGTTTTATTGACATTTCTTACAGAGGCTATCACTCAATAAATGAATCACCAGTGAAATTATCTCAACTACCAAATTATCTTTAAAAATTAAGTAATGTGTTTATTTAGGTAAAGAAAGAAAGAAAGAAAGAAAAAACATTTATTTGGTACCAAAAAATTAAACAATAAGTACAATCAACTTTGTTAATTTTTTTCGGGTTCAGAAATATGTCTTTGAAAATTGGATCAAGTCGATCTAATCTGACTACTTATCTTTATTAGATTACTGATGTTCATAAGAACATAGTAGCATATATCGGTTACTTTTTCTTCTGTAGACAGATTTTACCTCTAGCATACCAGCAAGTTATTAGAAATAGAACACAAATCCATCTAGTTACTAACCACATGGTTCTTGGAGTCATCTGCGTCCTGGACCAGGTCAGCCAAGAGGCAGAAGATCCTGAAGAGTTTGAACACGGAGTCATCGCCGAAGACAGGCTTGTCCCGGCCGAGGAGGTTCTTACGGCAGACCAGCCAGCACACCTGGAAACCGCGTGAGTTTTGAGCAAAGTATTATATTTTCTTGGTCACTGTATAAAGTTAGAAAATACGTGATACATCGTTTGTTCGTTTCAGCCGAATGACGTCCACTGCTGGACGAAGGCATCCCCCAAGGATTTCCACAAAGAACGGTCCTGTGCCGTCCTGCCACGTGATACTCGTACCTACTTAGAATATAATATTATGTAGTAGTATTATTATGTAGTATGTATTTTATTTTATTTTATTTGTTTAACAATGTTTCAACAGCATTAAATTGTACATAAATGTGCAGGAAGATACAACTTGAACATAAGCATATGTAGTTTTGCAGGTGATATTTGTATAGGTAAGTACTTACGTATAGTTTGCAAAACCTAAGAAAATGTGGGTGAATCCTAGGTGCATCATACGATCCAAAACCTTGCATCGTCATATTTTACATTTAATTTTCTAAGAAATCTATAATATACTAGCTGACCCGGCGAACTTCGTACCGCCTTAGCGTAGAGATTTTCTTAATATTTTTTTCCGTAAGAACCATCCTTGGACTTCCACAAACATTTAAAAAAAAGAATTATCGAAATCGGTTCAGCCGTTCACACGTGATGCCGTGACAACGCGAAACGGGTTTCATTTTTATATATATAGATTTTGTTCCTCAAACGGCCTGAAAAATACATAATAGGCTTGACTCTTAGATTCTACATTTTCATTATTGATCGATTACCTAATAAAACTTAATTAAGTTTATGGGATGGCAAAGGCAATATGATATTCCATGTGGCTTTTTATAGCTTAATATTCTCAAGAGGAACATTGTTTAATGTCTACATCTAAATTGTATCTACATTAACATAAGGTTGATAAACCTAAGATGATAAACCTAACTAAGATATTTTTGATAAACTATGATGGATAGCTCGCCATGTCTTAAAACAAATTAATTGCTCGCAAAACAAAAGTGGCAGCGGTGACGTCTATTTCGCAGTCCAATTTAGTCTTTGACGCTAATGGATTGAACTTGGCTGCCACCCTTCATTGTGTCATGAAGATGACGTGTCTCTTGACCTGAATAGGGCCCGTAAAGATAGGAAGTTGGATAACCCATGAATGGCTACGGTCAACATAGGGTTTTGCTATGACGTGTGATGTGAGTGAATAAAAGGGAGTTGAGTCTTGGTCATCAGGCACATTAATTTCGTAATCTGGTGATTTTGACCAGTAGGAGCAGCCCTAGGACACAAAGGATGTGCGCCATGATAAAGTTTTATCGTGGGATTTTATCGATTTTGCACGATAAGCCCATACATTTATCGCCTAAATCTGTCGAATTTTATGCATTACTAGCTGACCCGGCGAACTTTGTTCCGCCTTAATGGCAATAAATAAGCAGACTTTTTTTTAATTCCGAACGGGATAAAAAGTATCCTATGTCCTTCTCCTGGCTCTAAACTACCTCCCTGACAATTTTCAGCTAAATCGGTTCAGCGGTTCTTGAGTTATAAGTGGTGTAACTAACACGACTTTCTTTTATATATAAAGAAGAAGATATTTGAGGACCACCATTTGATGTATGAGTGCAAAAAAGTCATTGTTTTTCGTCCTTCATTTGACTTGTGGGTTGGTTTGGTTAAGGAATAGTATGATGAAGTAAGCGCGTTAAAAAGATATTATCAAGCCTTGCAGCAACAGTGCTATGTAATTTTACTTTATTAACGTATAGTCTAGAGAGTTCTAGACGTTAGAGGCTAAAAATATGTTTCAATTGAAGCTGTGATAGATATCGAATAAGCCCAAGGTGAGCCCAAAGTGAACAAGTCTGTCTGGAAATATTTTACGTGCAAAATCGATACTTTGGCCGTCATTCAGATCATTCAGTCGAACGGAAAACTGTATAAATCTAAGATAGCAGCATATTTTCTATTAAGTGAGCTTTAATAAGCGTGGTGGCAATCACTTTCTTATCGGTCGATCGTGAGTTGAAATTATGAGTAATCTTGCTATTGCTTCGGTATTTAACAACAGTTTAAATCGTTTATAGACAGTGGGTAGATATTTTGCTGTAACACGAATATTTTGTTACCTCAGTCGGTGGCAGGCCTTCATAACGCAACTTTTACGAATGCCTAGTCTACTACGCGTTATGAGTGTCGCGGCAAGGACGCAGCCGGTCAAGCGTGGCTACATAAACGCATTATAATATTGCTGACAAAAACTCATTATTATGTGATACTTTAGTAGATAGTAGACAAAGAAAGACCTTTAGTCACTACAAAATAAGCCGTGCCAGTAAAATGTAGTACAAAACAGAACATTATCACTTACCTCACTAATTTTCTTCTCATATTCCCTGACGATGTGCAAGGTGACGGCTTTGGGCAGGGAACTGAAGACCTCATGCTGCAGGTAGTATCGGAACTCGTCGAAGGTCAGCTCCTGGGATGACCTGAAGTGGTCCAGGCCTTTCTCTACGCCGTATAGGTCGAGGAGAGTGCCAATGTTTGCTGTGAGAACCTGGAAATAAATGGATGGATTATCTTTATGATTTCTAGTGACGGCGTGTACGGCTGGAAAATATTACATTATAGTCAGTCTTGCCAAGAGAGACCTCATTTGTCGAACTCTGTAGATCTCCTTTGCACTGAAAGGCTCCAGTTGATCGATCCTTAAGATCTAACTCCTCCTGTTTGTCGTCTGATTAATTTAGTTGCGGGTTAAATGACAGTTTAACTTTCTCCTGAGACAAATTTGGTAAGACTTAAAGTCCGGAAGGGGGTTGTCCATTAAGGTAAACGGCTACTAGTTCGTGATAGTACGTAAGTTCGTAAGTTTTTTTTCTAGCTCAAATAATAAGCAAATGGAATATTATTTATAAAAATTCTTTATTACTACAAAAACTCTATTATTTAAGCTATCTAAAAAACCAAGTACCAACATTGTGGCGCCAAAAATGAGAGCAATACGAAGCTTCAAACTCTCAGAGAGCCAAAAACAGCCGTGCGGCGTGAAAATGTTGCTCTCACCGTAAGGTTAGCGCTCCAACTTCTTAAGCTTATAGAAAGGCAAAGAAACGCCCATTTGCATAAAACTTGTAAAAGTGGTTTCATGTGTTCCTTGACAATTGATTTGGCTTAGAAAAAAGTTATATGAAAATGTAGAATTCCTTTAAAATTGCGATTATTTGAGTCACGAAATAGCGTACATATGATTTTTCGGGTGTCCCCTGTTTCGTGATACTACCGAATCAAGGATATTATGGATAATATTTTGATGCTTGGTTTTTTAATAATTATTTATGTTAATTGAAATGTAAGTTATGAAACAAATAATACATTTATTTAAGTTTCTCATGATCTAAATTCGGTATATGTTTCGTTCACTAGAATTTATATGACACGAGTTTGAAGTTCACATAAATGACCAATTTTAAGATAAATTAGCATAAGTACTACCAGCGTAATTTTGGTTTTAATTCGATTCGTTTTATTTTTCTTGGTTTATTTGTATTTTATATGGGATAGATAATAGTTAATTGACACAATTTGACAATAATCCATGAATTTTACTTGGGGAATTTGGAATAATCAGTATCACGAAACAAGGAACCGTAATTATGGTTACTTTTTCCCAAGTTCGTGATATATAAATGTATAGTGTTAGGTACTTGTATGACACATAACATCAAAGAAATCGACATATTTTTTAGTTTTTAATACTTACCTACCTAAGTAATAAATAAATTAATTTTTATTATGAGTCATTGGCGTATATGGGGCTATTTTCAGGGGGGGGGACTACCCTCACTTGAAGCAGCTCCAGGGGTGGGGGGTTAGTCCCCACCCCCCTCATTTTTTAAACTTAGACTTGTATGAATATTTTCATATATCGTTAGAAATAAAAAATCTAAATTTTATGAGTACGAAGGGAGGGGGGGGCGGGGTAAGGCCCCCCTACATTTCTGATGATTATATAAATATTTTCACATATTGTTAGAATAATAAATCAAAACTTTATACGAAGGTACGTACCTACCTAGCTAGACAGACTCACATTATTTCTTATGAATATTTCAGGTAGGTAAGTAATATCGTCAATTTCACAAAATTCTTTTATTCTAAATTTATACTATCGTTTTTAAATTTATTCAACCCTTAATCATTATTAAAATATCCTAACTCGATGCGTAAAACTTTATCCCGAAATAGGGGATATGAGTTCACGAACTTAGAAACAGAGCAAAATTTTATCACGAAACAGGATCCAAACAAGAGGTCCGCAGAACAATTAATATTAAAAAAAGTTCAAACAATATAACTATAATTTATGTATTAAGTTACTGTCAAAAGACCAAAGTTTAGCATACAAAAGCTTTCATACTGATATCATGCTTGGTTATTTTTAAATAAATTGTTAAAGTCGTAAGAGCCTTAATATACCGAAGTAGGGGGCACTTACCTTAAGTCTAGTTGCCCACAAAACACACAAATACCTACTCTACCTAATTACCTATTACTAGTTAGCTCCAGCTTAGTTTACGACTGTTTACTACATATTTTGTTCGTACAAGTAAACATAGGAAAGAGGTGAACGTGATCGTTTGTTTGTGTAGTAAAATGTGTGTGCACAGTCAAGTCATAATATTTGCCAATTTTGCTTCATTATCTAGACAAAGACGGAAGGCAAGCTAGCATGCGAATGTTCTTTAGACTTGGTAGAGTCGCAGTAAGTAGAATAATGATTTTTGCAGTAACTGTTATACGTTACCATAGTTTACAATCAACAAACTGAATCATCATCATCATCATCATGTCAGCCATAGGACGTCCACTGCTGAACATAGGCCTCCCCTAATGCTTTCCACATTGATCGATTGGTAGCGGCCTGCATCCAGCGCTTCCCTGCTACCTTCACGATGTCGTCGGTCCACCTTGTAGGTGGACGTCCCACGCTGCGCCTTCCGGTACGCGGCCTCCATTCCAGAACCTTGCTGCCCCATCGGCCGTCAGTTCTGCGCACTATGTGCCCTGCCCATTGCCACTTCAGCTTGCTAATCCGTCGGGCTATGTCAGCGACTTTAGTTCGTTTACGGATTTCCTCATTTCTGATTCGATCTCGCAAAGAAACACCAAGCATAGCCCTCTCCATAGCACGCTGTGCAACTTTGAGCTTCTGTATAAGGCCTAAGTATAGTGAGAGGCCACGTTTCCGAGCCATAAGTTATCACTGGTAACACACATTGATTGTAGACTTTCGTCTTCAGGCATTGGGGTATTTTGGACGAAAAGATGTTACGTAGTTTCCCGAACGCTGCCCAGCCGAGTTGGATTCGACGATTGACCTCCTTCTCGAAATTGGACCTACCTAGCTGGACCGTTTGTCCGAGGTAGACATACTTGTCGACAATCTCGAGAATTGAGCTCCCAACTGAAACTGGGTAGGGCGCAACATGGATATTCGACATAAGCTTCGTTTTGTCCATGTTCATCCTCAGGCCTACCTGTTGGGAAACTCGATTAAGGTCTTCGAGCATTGTGCCAAGATCTTCCAACGATTCTGCCATGACCACAATATCGTCGGCAAACCGAAGGTGAGTGATGTACTCGCCATTAAGGTCTTCGAGCATTGTGCCAAGATCTTCCAACGATTCCGCCATGACCACAATATCGTCGGCAAACCGAAGGTGAGTGATGTACTCGCCATTAATGTTTATGCCGAATCCTTTCCATTCCAGGAGCTTGAAAGCGTCCTCCAATGCAGCGGTGACAGTTTCGGAGATATAACATCTCCCTGCCTAACGCCTCGCTGCAGTGGAATCGCCTTCGTGCTCTGCTCCTGTACTCGGACCGACATGGTGGCGTTTTTGTACAAGCACTTCAGCACCTCGATATACCGATAGTCAATACGGCACCGCTGGAGAGATTGTAGCACTGCCCAAGTCTCAATCGAATCGAAGGCCTTCTCATAGTCCACGAACGCCAAGCATAGTGGCAAGTTATACTCCTCAGTCTTCTGTATAACCTGTCGCAGCGTATGGATGTGGTCTATGGTACTATAACCTTTTCGGAATCCGGCTTGTACGCGCGAGACGGTTCGTGATGACTCTCGAAAACAGTTTGTAGACATGACTCAGAAGCGAGATGGGTCTGTAATTCTTCAGCAAGGTCTTATCACAAACTGAATCTCCTAGTTAAAAACTTATTTATAATGCCAGAGATTTTACAGTGATAGTGTTGGGAATAAGTAGGTAACTGAGTAGGCCTACTTACTAGTTACTTAGACAGGACTTTTGTATAGGTTACTTATTAGGAGCTTCAGTTTTTTCATTGTTAATATTTTCAGCCTTAACTTGTTTTGTTAATTTCTCGTGCCTAAGTTTTTTTGTTTTCAATAGATGGTGTTATCGTATTCTTGTAGGTTACAATGTGTCACCCTAAGTCAAAGAATGTACCTACTTAGTATGTAAGTAGTGATTCATATGTGTGTACTGCAACAAGATTTTCTTCATAATTGCTTGTAGCGAGGTGTTATGAGTTTAGTAACAATAGGTAGAACATTATCTGTGACCGAACCGACCGACTTCGTACGCTCGTAATCGATGAAGTTTTTTCTTTTCTATGAAAACCCTAAGAATTTTTATGTATGTTTCCCCCAAAAACTTAACTAACGTATTTTTCTATCCTAAATGCTTTTATCGTGATAGATTGTATATTGGCGTCACCACTCTCTTCAGACCATAAAACCATGCCTACCACAGTAGGTTGTAGAGTTTTTACTAGACCTCTAACACAGTTGCATGTGGTTGCAGTGGCTCAGTGAACAATGCTATCGGTCTGCGCCTACGCATTCGTTGTGGAACTCGTGGACAATGACCCAGTCATCGTCATGCGTTATATCACTACGTGTTTGTTACTAAATATTATGTGGTAGATAAGGGGGCGTCCATAAATTACGTGAGGCTTTTAGGGGGGGGAGGGGGTCAACGAAAATCTCACTAAATCTCACGTAGGGGAGAGGGGGGGTCTCGGAAAATATCACGTAATTTTTCCCGCAAGGAATAGAGTAAAATTGCCAGAAAACTGGGTTATTGAAGTAAAAAAAAATGATTTTTTTATGATGATAATGACAATTTATTCCATACCGTCTAATCAAATGAAACTAAAAATGCCTCCATCTGCATTTGTGAACACTAAAGATGCAGAATAAATGTCGAAATTAAGAAAATTCGAAATTAAAAAAAAACTTCATCAGCATCGCTATTGCATAATAAATTGGCCAAGTGCGTGTCGTCCCACGCGCAGTGTAGGGTTCAGTAGTTGTCCCACGCGCAGTGTAGGGTTCAGTAAAGTCACTTTTCATATTTTCTTCTAAGGAATTTTTACCGGTTAAGAAATTTTATAATACATGAGTCAAATGACTATTACTCTTAAACTAAGTAATCTATCTTAATCGTTATAGTTTTCCTTGAAAAAATTCTACCCTAGAAATTTTATTTTACCGTTTTGTCGGCGTGATTA